AATCGATCCTGGGGTCTGGCCACAACTCTAGGGACCTAGTTTCTGAGTCAAAGCTTGGAAACAGTTGAGATCCCCACCCCATAACCATACATAAAATTGCTGGGCATGAAAAATCTAATATAGCTATGCTACAAGGATTGGCCTTGTGGTCTGGCATATTCCCTTGATCTCATTTGGAGAATAGTTTGCCATGATTGCTTAGGTATCCAGGTGAGCGATACAGGCCATCTGGGCCTCTTGTTCAAATAAATTATCACACCTTTTTTCAAGGTCACAAGGGTTAAAAGTGTTAAATGTGTTAAAAAAGACTATAGAATTATGATGTTTTATCTGTGATGGGGGGAGGGGGTTCAGGTTGAGTGAGGGGTTTTGCATAGATTGTGTTTGTCTCTTCATGCCCAGCAGTTGTATACAAATTCATATGGTTATGGGATAGGAATCTCAACTGTTTCAAATTTATTACCCAGAGATTAATCCCCAGGGCCAGATACCTAAACCAATCGGGGTAGCATTACTGTATTCTTAAATATAAACTTTATTTATTTTACAACAATTATGAAACGAGTAATTCAACTTATATTACCTAATCACTCTTGCTGGCCCGGATGTTAGCACATATGGGGGGGGGGGGGGGGTCTTAATGTGGGGTGAAATCAGAGTAGCTGGAGAAAATCCACATGTTCTGATAGGTGACCCAATACCTTTCCTTTTTACCTCCGTATCGAACCCAGGACGCCTTAGTGAAAGGTGAGTGCATTATTAACTGACCATCCGTTACTGTATTCCTTTCTTAACATCTAACAGTTGTACAGATATTGTACTTATATATGCCCCAGGAAATATTCAGACCACTCACGAGTATAGTAAGAGTCTGTGTGTTAGGAGAAGTAGGCTTTGGAAGATTAAATCACCTATATTTTTCCTATACTGGGCCAATCTTATGCCCTGCCCTTTGGCCCCAGGGGCTCACAAACTTTATATGAAATATAACTGCCTCGCTTATATGATATTTCAGACCAAATACAGTAAAAATCCTCACTTGTCCATCAAGAAGAGTTAGCTTTCGAAAAATGAAATTGCCTACCTTTGCTCTATTTATGCTCCCCACCTCTTACCCCACCAGAAGGTTACAGCCTTTATTTACACATTAGCTTTCTTGGGTCCTATTTGTTTATGGGGAACAACCGGTTTGTTGGTTTATAAATGTAACAATTTCGGGTATAAATCCTAGCGGACCTGCAAATGTTTAAGCAGGCTTTGCAAGACTCGCCAGATGGCAACAACAGCTGTGGACCGACCGGTCCAACCGTTTATATGAAAACGGCCCTGGTCTTACTGATGTTATAAGTTCAGTTCGATTAAATTCCATCAGGTCCTTCAGGAGTTGTCTTTTGCAGGTTAAAATCCATTAGTTTCCCTCGATTGGGCCTCAGCTCCCAGACGGGATACACTTTTCCTTTATATAACAATTCATTCTCTGGTCCCAAGGATGAATCCTACCAAATCTAGTTGAAATCCATTGAGTTCGTCACAAGGAGGAACAAGTTGACGGACGGTTGCCAGATGCAATGCTTTGGCATAACCTCACTGGCACTTTTAGACAAGCTAACTAGAATTTGTTTGAACCTTTTAAAAGGTTACATTTTAGTATTTCTGTCTAACTTGATTCACACACTTAAAAATAACAAAAACCAAATTCTTTGTACAAAACTTCATTTCATTAAGTGCAGTGTAACATAATTATAAAAGGTGAAATAAATAATAAATGCACTTTGTGTGTGTGTGTCTACTCGTCAGGGTACCCTTGTACCTGGTAGGGTTGTGGGCAACTGGGCTGTCTGCAACACTTTCCAGCTGCTGGAGGATCCCAGTGACAAATGTCAGGTAGTTGCCAGATTGGACACCTGTAAGTAAAACAATGGAACACATCATTAATTCAATACCTAGTGGAACAAGTGAAGATCAGCCTGGAATGTAAACCACAAACCATTAATTCAATACCTAGTGGACTATTAATTCAATACCTAGTGGAACAAGTGAAGCTCAGCCTGGAATGTAGACCACAAACCATTAAGTCAATACCTGGTGGACCATTAATTCAATACCTGGTGGACCATTAATTCAATACCTGGTGGACCATTAATTCAATACCCAGTGGACCATTAATTCAATACCTAGTGGAACAAGTGTAGATCAGCCTGGAATGTAGACCACAAACCATTAAGTCAATACCTGGTGGACCATTAATTCAATACCCAGTGGACCATTAATTCAATACCTAGTGGAACAAGAGAAGATCAGCCTGGAATGTAGACCACAAACCATTAAGTCAATACCTGGTGGACCATTAATTCAATACCTAATGGACCATTAATTCAATACCTAGTGGAACAAGCGAAGATCAGCCTGGAATGTAGACCACAAACCATTAATTCAATACCTAGTGGACCATTAATTGAATACCTAGTGGAACAAGTGAAGATCAGCCTGGAATGTAAACCACAAACCATTAATTCAATACCTAGTGGAACAAGGGAATATCAGCCTGGAATGTAGACCACAAACCACTATTTCAATACCTAGTGGAACAAGTGAAGATCAGCCTGGAATGTAAACCACAAACCATTAATTCAATACCTAGTGGACCAAGTGAAGATCAGCCTGGAATGTAGACCACAAACCATTAAGTCAATACCTGGTGGACCATTAATTCAATACCTGGTGGACCATTAATTCAATACCCAGTGGACCATTAATTCAATACCTAGTGGAACAAGAGAAGATCAGCCTGGAATGTAGACCACAAACCATTAAGTCAATACCTGGTGGACCATTAATTCAATACCTAGAGGACCATTAATTCAATACCTAGTGGAACAAGTGTAGATCAGCCTGGAATGTAGACCACAAACCATTAATTCAATACCTGGTGGACCATTAATTCAATACCTAGTGGACCATTAATTCAATACCTAGTGGAACAAGTGAAGATCAGCCTGGAATGTAAGACCACAAACCAACTGAGATATCTGGTCAATGGTGATCAATAGCACTGCATTCTTTATAAGCAGTAATTTCAGGAAGTACTTTTACTTTTATATTTCCTCAAACAGACCTTGATGAGTCAGGTGAGCTAAGAATGGACAGGTACAGGTAAATATCTTTATTCCATAGATGTCATAATTGGTTTAATATTAACTACCAGAATACAAAATTTCAAAGATTTGACATAGATGTTTTTAGGTGCCATGCCCACATCATGCCCAATTTTTTAAATGGGTTCTGTTTTCTAAAAATCTTCTAATTAGGGAATAAAGCTTAATTCTATTGAGATATGCAGCAGTATATCGTGATTATACTGTCACAAATTGAATTTTACTTGCAACATGGAGCAGACCCAGTAAAATGGATATTTCCGATAGTATAATCACGGTATACCAACAGAAAACTCAAAATAGTGTAGGATTATTCTAATTCATAAGCTAAAATCACCAAAAGAGACAACGATTTTAAGATATTCTTGAGCATTTTCTTCAAAATCTTGGTCTCTGCCGTGGATTGATGAAATCAGGAATATTCAAAGTGAGGCTGAATTATATTGACCTTTCAGGTTACTCTATTGTTGATGAAGTCATTAATAATCAATCTCATCATGTGTCAGGGTCATTGACATCGTTAACAATCGGCATCCTTGCTTCATATGAAAATGAGACATTTACGGATGGTATACTGTGGTTATACTATTGCACATTATTTTGATTGACCAATCAATTGCCATGTGACATCTCAAACTGTTTCCACTTACTTATCTCTACACTCATAAAGTCCTTGGTCAGCATCGGTACACTTGCACTTCTTTGTACAACCATCTTCCCATTGAGCATCCTGTGGGTAGGCTTTGCCTTTGTAATTGCACAATTCTAAAAGATAGGCAACAAAAGTCACAAATTAGTGAAACAAAGCAACACATGTCTCCTACCTACCTTTTTATTTAGTTCCATAGCACATTGGAGAACTTTACCTTAACACAACCTTGATATTGACTTTTAAGAGGCAGCTTGATGAATGTTGTACACCTCACATTATTTAGTATTGAAACCCATGTACAATGTACATACAGCCATCAAAATTACATTACCATTCACACTAGTGTAACTTCACTCATTTACCTAATAATGATAGAAAAATAATAAGAACAGTGACAGGTCAGCAAGGACCTCACTATGCACCTGAGTAAATCCCCAATGGTCTATTTTTAGTAACAGTGACCTTGAACCTTAGAAACTGGTTTAAACCCCCTATTGCAAATAAGCATATCACCATGTCAAATTTTGAAAAATTAATAGTTTGTTAGTTTGTTGAGATAATATCCGGAAACAAAGGTTTGTATAGCTGTTACTTTAAATTACTATTAATTCGTTTACAAGAAATTCTGCTCCAGAGACTATCATTTTCCGATTCCCACAAACAAACTCAGCAAGGGTACTTACGTTGAGGAGCGATTTCAATTATGTCACAGCACTGACCCTCAAAATGTTTCAAGACCCAGTTAGGGGGAAGATCAACATATTTAGGACACCTGTAAACAAACATTATCTTGTTACTTCAGTTCCAAATTAACATTATGTCAAGGTTAAGAATTATAGGAGTGTTTAGACTAAGTTGAAACCACCATTTTACTGCTTTCTCAATATCTCTCTGAAAAGAGATACGCTTCACATAGCATGGATTCTAAGGCTGCTTTCGTGCTTCTGGTTAAACCAGATTAACTGGCTGAACCCTGAAAGAAAACAGCAGGCTCAAATCAAACCAAGGATGACCTCTGGCATAGTTGCCAACCTCTGAAACTCTCATTGTGGTCAGTTCACATGAATATCATATTTAGTGCACACGTGAAAGAAGGACATATCCTTTTGATATGTTATTCGTTTAGCTCTGTCTATAACTCCATCACGATTCTTTATGTGCATTCGTTTATCATGGAACATTTCTGTGCCACCTGAAACTTTCCAACTGGTTATGCAAAAGCGACCTAGACATTGGGTATGAAGATGTGAAAGATACCATCACAAATTTACATACATACATTGTAGAAATATTGAAATGAAACAGGAGACCTTCACTTAATACATTATTTCTCCAATATCATTTTTCTTTTCTTTTTTTCAGCACATAATAAAAACACAGTTGGCTGTGTAATAATTCTGAGGTTTATGCACAGTATGTTATTTACATTTTACTGTAGCCAAGTTATTACTTACAAATCTTTGCAACTGTAAACTCCATTGTCACAGGAACAGTTCTTGTCACATCCATCCTTCCATGTCTCTCCAGACATGTAGCTAGTTCCCTTGTACATACAGGTAGCCGCTGGAGGAAGAGAGAGGCAAACTCAGTAATACCTATAAATCGTCTCTTACAAATGCCTTTAAAACTTCACTGCTACATCATAAATACATTCACCCTTTCACCCCAATGTCACTTTTGTTAACTCTACCATGCATTGATCAGGATAAGTCCATTATGGTCCACAGTGGTGAAAGGGTTAAATGCATTTTTCCGATGTTTAAGATACTATTTTCAAGATTGCTATCAATATATCTTTTATTGAAGTCATTGTCTTATAAAAGATGATTTCTTTTACATAACCACTTGAAACAGTGTATGATGGTGTTCAGAACTGTTTATATTTGATATCACTAGGTATTAAACTGATTATGTTTACAATATTAGATCCAGAATAAACTGAATAGTTTTGAAATTACTGTCTAATGTCAACTACTGTGTAAAGAAATGGATACTTACGCTGTGCTGTAGTGCCAACTACAATAAATTAAAACAAACTAAATTATCATAAAGAAAATTTAACAGATGCAGAAACATGAAGACAACGAGTTTGTACTTTTTTGAGATCAAAAACCATCTATGTCACACATCAATATACATATTCCATCAAAAACTTAGTACATTGTATTAAAAACTTAAATATTAAAAATAAGTGTAGTAGCTGAAAAATACACAACTATTATCATCATGACTGATCATAATTATATAATTGACTTTTGATTGAAGTATGAAAGACTTGCTAGATAAAAATGTTTAAAAAAATCTTTTATGATATTTTTGCATTTGTGATGTGAAAATGAACAAAAAATTGATAGAGGTCAACCTGGCCTAACAGAGGTCAAACTTTAATAATGTTTCGTTAATGACACGTCCAACCTATACTCAAAGAGCCCAAACGTATCTTAATTTAGCTCAAATTTACATATCACAGAAGAGATCAAACTTGCAATCAAGTTTCTGCTGAGATCAAATTTACACTCAAATATGTCTTTAGACCTGTTTATAATTGATATCACTATGTATTAAACTGATTATGTTTACAATATTAGATTCAGTATAAACTGAATACTTTTGAAAATACGTTATTATTTAATTAAGCACAGTCATGATAATAATAGTTGTGTATTTTTCAGCTACTATAATTATTTTTAATATTTATTATTTTTTTAACACCCAAAGATAAGACAAACCAAAGAAGCCATCAAAATCAGGAAAACTCAGAAGATGAACAGAGACAAGGGGGGACACCAACTGGGTCATCTGTATGACCCGATACTGACATAACAGGGGAGGGGACTAGATCTACACCCTACCTGTAACCTATCTGATGCTGTGTGTATACGCTCCCTATCGTTAGGCGAAAAGTCTCGGGTCGAGTGACATGAAAAATATACAATTTCGTCACATCGTTGTACAGGTAAATATTACAAATCGCTCACTCAGTCATAGCTTGACAAAGGGACCAGTTAGTCATGAAACGTTGCGACACGTTTAATACATACATTGTTTGCGTAAAAGGTAAAACTTTGATATCATGTCTTTTGAGGTCAAACTTACGATCGCAGAGATCGCAAGTTGATTGACAGTTGGACTCTGCATAGGAAACGTAGGATGGGTTGGTACAGATGGTGGCCTTTAGACTCTGGCAAGTTGCAGGCTGCTTATCCGCACAGTCGTTATCACCATCAGTAGGACCTACACAAACAAGTAACAAACACAAGTAGTGGTAATGGTGGAAATACTATTCAACATTCTATTTAGTTGTTTGTTTCATGTTAAGATGTCACAGCAATTGTCTTCTCATACCAGTGTTGTATAACTGTAAACAAACATTCAGGTTTAGAAGTTATATAGCATCACAATTCATTATTGAGAATGTATAGTACCTAACAATCGAGTTCAAGCGCACTGAAAATATAGTGAGATATTCTTTTCCTAATCTAACTGCGATAACTACACCAATCTTAGCCTCAATCAGTGAAAACTTGGCAAATCCTAGTCTCTAGCTGTGACAACTTGACAAATCTTAGTCTCAATCAGTGACAACTTGGCAAATGCTAGTCTCTAGCTGTGACAACTACACCAATCTTATTTCCAAACTATAACAACTACAGTAGGCTTATCCTTGTGTCTCTGAACTAAATACTTCTAACCTGGTCTCTGAATGAGAAACAACATATTTAAAACTGACCCTAAATTAGCAACAACCTAACATCTTAATGAACAAATTAAGTAATACTTACAGTAGTTACAGAAGTTTTTACAGTTGATTCGGGCCCAGTTCTCAAAGATGCCTGTGCAGGAAGACTTGCCGAAGGCTGGACAATTATCCAGCGTGTCACGGCAGGACAACGGTTGTTGGGTTGGGGTGGTGGGTGGTGGTTTGGTGTGATCACAGTCTGATAAATATAATCAGCATTAATAATCAGACAGCAGGAGCAGTCATCACAACTTTCAGGTACACATGTTAAGAAGGAATATTAATAACGATTAAAAAGCATTCTTAAGTAATGCAAATGAATATCTATATATCCTCTATTGCAAAACTTGGACTAGTCATGATACAATACAAGTCCCTTACTATAACACATACTCAAGACATGATTTTCAGTTGTTTGATCCCTTTGGCCTCTTTCTGCCACATTTCACAGAATTTTCACAAAGCAATATATCCTAGTAATACTAACAAAAACTACACTTCTACAATTTGTGTACAATGTATTTTGTTTTGTCGTTATATGTATTGTTCTTATGTTGTTATATTCCTTATGTTGAAGATAAAATAAAGTCTACACTGTGAAACATGTTTTCTTCTTTGCAAGGGAGGACTACATTGCTTACTCTGAAGCATTCAAACGCAGCTTTAGGTGAAGAGGCTATATTTGTAGATTACAGTGATATTAAATAGGTTTTCAAACTAAAGGGTGCAAGAAAAAAATTCATTACCAGTAACTGGGTGAGATCAAGTTATCTCAATCTCGTGCTAACTCAACTGAGATAACATTAAAAAATTAGAAGAAAGGGCATTACTCCCATAAAAAAACCCATTAAAACAAAATCATAAAATCAAATATACAACTTAAAAGCATAACAACCCAAAGTACCAATGTTCACAACAAAGCTGTTGAGAAGGTAAGCAGCATCTTGTTGGCCTAAGGTTTGTGTTGGGGAATGGGTAATGTAAAGGCCTATGATGTACCACAATGTAGTGGTGAGTAATCACTCACCACAGAAGCCACAGTAATTTTCACAGTTCCTGGTGGCCCAGTCCTTGTAGGGGGATACGCAGGCCTCCTTGCCATAAGCTGGACAGTTGTCAATCTGGTCCCTACACCAACTACAGGTTGGTTTGCTGGTCTGGGTGCTCATGGCACCAGGTGGAACTGTACCAGTGCCACCTGATGTTTGAGACGATGAGGAGGAGGTGGACTGGTCACAGACGACTTGGTCACAACACTGACCTGCTACCTTCTCCATGTGACAGAAGGACGGAAGGGACGTGTAAATTGGACATCTATAAGAAAGACAAACATACTTAAAATATCTCTTAATAAATATAGGGTATCTATAAACAACACAATTAGATATCTCCTTATCTCTTAATCAGAAAAAGAGTCTCTAACGAAAAGTTAGAATTTTTGGTAGTGACACAGTGACCCTTAAGATTCCTTTAATGAATGAACACCTACCTGGGACGACACTCAAACTGGACTGGGTTTCCATCATGGCAGTTACAGACAAAGTCACAGCCATCACTCCATTGCTGACCAGGCAGATAGGAACGTCCCTTGTACAGACACTCTGTAAACCATTTATTAAAACACGTTGAAAGTTAGGTGATTCTCACGTATATATTCACTTAACTCAACTGGTATAGAAGTGGACTTGATGCGGTTAAACAGACATTTGAACGCTTTAAACTCAAAGAACTTTTCATTCAATGTATTCCAAATATTATCTTTCGAATATATAGCAGAGTTATAGAAGTGGCTGGGTGGTGCAGTGGATAACGCACTCGACTATCACCAAGGCGGTCACATGCCCGACCATGTGAATTTTCTCCAGTTTCCTCCTACATTAAGACCCCTCTCGCACTAACATCCGGGCTAACTAGAATGATTAATATAAGTTATATTAACTTGTTTCATATTTATTGTAAAGTAAATAAAGTTTATCTTTATATTATAAACGTGAAATTCGAAAACCTACCTTTCTGTGTACTGGTGTAGTTGTTGGTGAAGTAAGAGAAGGAGGTATTATGATTTGGACTGATGCCAGTGTAGCCTCCATTGATGGTACCATATAGGGTGTAGTTGGACTTTTCTGTCAGAGGATTGATGGTCTGACCATTGGACATCTGGCACAAAGGTGTAGCACAACACTCACCATCCTTTTTGGTAAGGTAACAGCGACCTGATGGCAGGTTGTTGTACACAGGACACCTATACAAGGACAAACATAGATACAAAACATTGAGTCATCTTCACACAAACAGTGATGTGAATGATCATTTTTAAGATTGGTTTCCTTCTCAATTAGAATACTTATGATAATGGAATATATATAGTGTTAACTTTGCCATCTTTAACTCGTAAAACTTGAAAAAAACTGGATGTTGGGGAAAAACCCTTTCTAGTGATTTCCTGGTCGAGTGTTTTCTTCCCCCTCTCTCCCCCTTCTTTATCTTAGAAATTCAATTGAATTTGTAAATCCTAGATACCTACAAGTTTCATTTTCATCCTGAAAGTGTGAATATTGAAGGATATTCGTAGTATTCGCAATAGCCACTAGCAAAACTTACAGTGGAGTACATTGTAGTGGTCACTTGGTAAACTTACAGTGGAGTACATTGTAGTGGTCACTAGGGAAACTTACAGCCGAGTACATTGTAGTGGTCAATAGGTAACCTTACATTGGAGTACATTGTAGTGGTCATTAGGTAACCTTACATTGGAGTACATTGTAGTGGTCATTAGGTAACCTTACATTGGAGTACATTGTAGTGGTCACTAGGGAAACTTACAGCAGAGTACGTTGTAGTGGTCATTAGGTAACCTTACATTGGAGTACATTGTAGTGGTCATTAGGTAACCTTACATTGGAGTACATTGTAGTGGTCATTAGGTAACCTTACAGCGTAGTACATTGTAGTGGTCATTAGGTAAACTTACAGGGTAGTACATTGTAGTGGTCATTAGGTAACCTTACAGCATAGTACATTGTAGTGGTCATTAGGTAAACTTACAGTGGAGTTCATTGTTGTTGTCAATAGGTAACCTTACATTGGAGTACATTGTAGTAGTCATTAGGTAACCTTACAGCGTAGTACATTGTAGTGGTCATTAGGTAAACTTACAGTGTAGTACATTGTAGTGGTCATTAGGTAACCTTACAGCATAGTACATTGTAGTGGTCATTAGGTAAACTTACAGTGTAGTACATTGTAGTGGTCATTAGGTAACCTTACAACATAGTACATTGTAGTGGTCATTAGGTAACCTTACAGCATAGTACATTGTAGTGGTCATTAGGTAACCTTACAGTGGAGTTCATTGTTGTTGTCATTAGGTAAACTTACAGTGGAGTACATTCGTAGTAGCCACTACTGCCATCCTTACAGACGCAGTTGAAATCGCAGCCATCCTCCCACTTCGCTCCCTCATCGTACACATGGTATGATCCGTCAGCCTTGCTCTGGAAGATACATTGCTCTAGAAAAGAAAGAAAAAATCCGTCTTGTTTGATACCGGTTACTGTTGATGGAACATCCTGACCACACTGTCAATGACTGATATTTAAACTCACACACCTAAACACTTATAACCAGAATGAATCTGTAGTGTACACTTTAGTACATATACTTAAACGCTTAGTTTTGTTAACCAATTTTTGTTTCTCATTTCATTTTACATGCTTTTATTCCAGAAAAATGATAACAAAAACATCAATTTTAAGTGAAAAAGAATTTTTCCTTCTTCCTTTTTTTTCTCCCAACAACTTAGCAAATAGATTGAAATGAGTTGAAAATGATGAAATTGTTATTTAACATACATACATGCGACTTGAGGATTGACAAATGTACATTTGAACTTGAAGGATTAAGGTTCTTAAAATTGTAACTTGGGTGTATTGACAAATTAAATGTAGTTACATGTGAATTGGAGATTGTACTTCCTTATGTATGACATGGGAGTACTGACATATTTATAAGTGACCTGGAAGATACAAATAATGTACAACATATTTACAGGTGACCTGGGAGAATCAACATATTTATGTATGACCCGGGAGAAATGACATACTTACGTGACCAGGAAGAATACAAATAATGTACAACATATTTACAGGTGACCTGGGAGAATCAACATCTTTATGTATGACCCGGGAGAAATGACATACTTACGTGACCAGGAAGAATACAAATAATGTACAACATATTTACGGGTGGCCTGGGAGAATCAACATATTTATGTATGGCCCGGGAGAAATGACATACGTGACCAGGAAGATACAAATAATGTACAACATATTTACAGGTGGCCTGGGAGAATCAACATATTTATGTATGACCTGGGAGAAATGACATACTTACGTGTGACTTGAGAGAATTGCACTGGCAAGATGGGGAAGGCATTGGGGAAGCTGACAGGCTTCTGTCCAGAAATGGTTCCCTGTGTTCCTGTTCCTGTGCCGCTGATTACTTGAGATGGTTGACTGTATCCTGGTGGAAGTGTCTGAAGGTTACCAAAGATATCTGTAGGGGCAGGTGTGGGAAGAACCTCCGAACCACCATGATACAGGTCCTGGAGGCCAGCCACATCACAGGTGAGGCGAGGACAGCACTCTCCCGGGATGGAAACTTGAGAACAGTAGCTAGGCAACGTCGACGGCAGTTGGGGACACCTGATCGAAGTCAAAAGAGTTTTAAAAAGGTGAATAGTCAAAAGATTGAGATTTTTTTTTGTTTTATCTATTTATCACATTAATTCAGATATTAGTTTCTGATGATCGAGACTAATTAGAAAGTTTATCCCTGAAAAAGTAAGCTGCCGTTAAAAGTTCCTTTATTTAGCTCTAACACAAGTCGGTTTACCTGAGACAGATGTCACAAATGTATATGAAATACAAAAAAGATGGCTTTGATTTGTTTCAATGTTGAAAATATAGTAAGATTTCCAATTCTCAGTTACAATGTGTTTACCTTGAGATACATTTGTATTCTCCCTTCTGAGAGTTCTCACAAGTACAACTGTAGTCGCATCCATCACTCCAAGACTGGCCTTGTTTGTAAGTTTTTCCCTTGTATACACACACACCAAATCCTGTAGAACACATATATTAAAGAATCTTTACAATGCAGGTTAAACAGAAGGACATGTGCTTGTAAACGTGCATAGCAAAACATCTACAACCCAGACTAGACAGATGAATGCTTAACACTGTAAATACATATACAGTAAAACTTTGATACAATGCCCCTCTTTTCATTTGCTTTCTCATTTATGCCAAGATATATATATTTCCATGTCCTATTTCCTTCTCATTTTCCTTAGAATTTCATTTTTTATAAGAGTATTTTTACAGAGGAAACAGCCTACCTCAGAACTTTTTATTTAATTTCAACATAAGGCCTGTGATTGAGACATCTTTATGCTAGAGTGTATTTTGACAGAAGATTTTAATTTCAACATTAGGCCTGTAATTGAGACATTTTAATGTTAAGAGTATTTTGAGTTATGTGTATCAATTAACTGTAAGATGAAGTACTTCTTTAATGTAATTTCATTGCAAGGGAGATGGCTTTACATATAAAGATTTAAAATCTTGTTGCCAGATCCTATTCCTATGTACTTATGTACATATTATATATGACAAATGAAAATAAATATTGATTAAACCAAGGCTATTTTGACAGAGAGCAGTCTACCTTCAGATCCTCCAGTATATCCTGGTCCAATGCCTGGCTTGTTCCAGTTGGAGCCTGTGAAGATGTCGTGTGTGCCGATGGGGAGAACGTTTAAGGTGTGAGGAGGGGGAGTGGCGGAGCCGTTGATGCCTCCATACTGAGGTGTTAGACTGATGCCTGTCTGTGTGGAACATACTGGCTTCTTACAACACCGGTCTTGTGGATCCTGTACCAACGTACAGGCTGAAGGCAGACCAGAGAAGGCTTGACATCTGTAGGGTACAAGTCAATATCTTGTTTAACATTAGGCCAAGAAAGACAAGAGAACTAGTCATATCTAATACAAGCTTACATGATGTTGTAAATATAGCAGAATTGGACTGGGTCGATCGCCTTTGACCAGATAGCTCAAATGGTTAGAGTATCAGTCTAAAGTTGTAGGCGAAGGGTCTGAATTTGGGTCTGACCATGCATTTTTCCTCCCTTTTACATAACTGCAGGATCTATGCCTTTTCCCCTCTCACTTCTCTATTCTTTACTTTTTGACGTTGTCTCTCTCAGCGCCTGTCTTCATATGACCTTAGCTTTTGTGAGGACGTTAAACCCCAAACAAACAAACTCTAAAACACTGAAGACATGTGATTAAATAATACATAGAGAAAACAGTATACGTTACCTTTGATCACATTTGTAGATGTTGAACGTGGCGTTTACACATGTACATCTGTAGTCACAACCATCATCCCACTTGGCTCCCTGGGCGTGTAGACTGTTGTCATTGTACTTACACATATCTGTCAATAAACAGCAATAAATGCCATCATACTTGAATTATTATTTTTTATCAAACTTACACTTTTCAGTCAATAATGTCGTCAAACTTACACATATCTGCCAACAAACGGTGATAAGTGTCATCGTACTTAAACAAATCTGTCAACACACTCCACAAAGAAACAAACAGGCGAGTAAACAGGATAGTTCATATTGAAGAGGAAAATGATGAAGAACAGCATATTTGAGCTATAGTGCTGTAATTTTGGGAGGTAACTTTTCTTGGTCCTTTTCCTGAAACAAATTTGTGAGGATCTGACGACTTTTCTAATTGTCAAACATCCTAACTGACTCTCTATGAGAAAAGGCAACAAAGTTGCAAGGCTGATATGACATTTTAAGTAATACCTTCTTCAAAACTTAAGTACTATATAGTAGAACAAGCAATCCATAGCCCCCCCCCCCCCCTTCCGAAATAACTCTGGACATCTTCAATAACAAATTGAACTATGGGTCATAACACTGTATAAAGTATCACAACGGACCTGATTCCATGAAACCCTGATATCCTTAGAGATACTCACAAAAAAATGGCTTCTGTAGGTGAGAGTGTATATGTCCTGGACAAAGTGACCAACAGTTAACAAAGGGCTACAACACTGTATATAGAACCACAGGAGACTCAATTTAAGTATGCAACGCTCCATCATCCCAAAAGGGCTAGGAACCTGCATAAAATCATTTGAATGTTAGTATCAGTTGAGGATGTAACAATTTTGTGTGTACTACGTACGTACCTGGAGGTTTGGTGCCAGTAGCTGTGGGGTACACAGCGGGCACTGTCACCAGGTGGAACGGTGTGGTAGGAGTGGTGGGTGGAGGGGTCTGGTTGAGGTCACATGACGCCTTTTTACAGCAACTGTCTCGTGGATCAGGAACATACGTACACTGGGCAGGGAGGTTGTAGTAGACTGGACACCTACAACATATACAGTCAACATCAAAACTATGTATAAACTCACACATAAACAACATACCATTAAATAATTATAACCTTACATTTATGAATCACAGATATCTGTATATATGTTGTTAACCCGTTTCTATTATGAGCATTATATATACCTGTCGCTGATCTGATCTTTCTCTGAACATGTCTTTCACCTGTGTAAATTATCCAATCACATCATTTACCTGTGAAAAAACTATTCTCTGATCCCATCTTTCACCTGTGTCAATTATCCAATCAAATCTTTTGCCCGTGATTTTTTTTCTCTGATCATATCTTTCACCTGTGTAAGTTATCCAAACCCATCTTTCATATTTGTAGTCATTATTCACACATACCTGTTGTTACACCTGTACTGTCCTCTCTCCTCATCATAGCAGGTACACTGATAGTCACAGCCATCATTCCAGGTCTGGCCCTGGTGGTAAACTTGACCCTTGTATACGCATGCCTCTGTAATCACAAGAAATCAGAAAATTCAGCCTTTATAATTCTACGGACCTGTACTTACTTCAAACATATTGTTGAACTCCACGATCATATTTTTCAGCTGGGTATGTAAACTGTGCTATAACAAAATTCTTTTAATGAATAATAAAATAACATTTGACAGTTAAATATTTATAAGGCCTGGTCCAAATAGCAAAATCTAACTGAACTGAAGAATCCAAAATAAATCATTTCTATCCATGGTTAAGTTTCTTGCCGATTTATTCCATGCAAATTATGAATTCAATTCTATTGGAGGTACCCCTAATCAAATTCTACAGTCCTGGGTGGGAAAAATGTGTTACCGGTACTTAAAGTAAGGCTCTCAGAGGTCTAGCTACTGCAAAACTCGAAATTCTAGTGTTGTGGAAATGCTTTCATTTTTTACATTGAGGAAGTTAGAGTGACAATACTAACATAAATATATGAATTGTATAAGTATATTGAATATATAGAAGACAGAGCCATTGCCAAAATATAAACTTCCACGCCTCAATCAGTTTAAAGAGTCAAAAGAAAAACATTTCCTCATGCAAGAATGTTCAAGTTTACATTATACAATGCATCAAGATTGATGGAATAATAATACTAGCATTTAATCATGAAAAATATATATACAATCATCCATGTTAAATTTGTTTGAGTTACCAAAAAATAAGGAAGAGTAATTTAGAATTGTGTTTACACCAAAATTAATATGGGTATGTAATCTAGCAGTGGAATGACTACATGTGTACTATACTGACTGTTATTTCCAGTGGTGCCGCCATATTGTGGGTTGATGTTGCCGTTGCTAGGACTACCGCCTGTAAAGGACTGTTGGACTGGTGTGGGAACCACAATAGGCAGGGGTGAGGTGGCACCCGGTATGGGCACACCACCTGGGGAAGTGGGACGCGGTGCATGTGTTGGGTAGGTGTTGCAGTCCGGCACCACACAGCAAGGATCGTTGGGGTCAGCAATCAGACGACATGTGTTTGGTAGAGCGTCAAATGTTGGACATCTGAAGCGACATTACAAAACATTATTTTTACGTATTCTGGAAAACCATGAAAATCTTATAAATGCCAGCTACGGTCAAAAATGTATTCAGATATCTTATCTGAGAAGTCCACAAAATAGTCTCTTACAGCAGGTGGTCTCTTAATTCAAGTTATCTGAACATCAAAATAACTATAATGAGGAGTGTATAAAGCGGTCTCTTAACATATTTGATCTCTTGATAGGGATAGTCTCTCTGAAAGATTGGATTGTACACATACTTGATAAAACATATCAATAGATCATCACATCAAAATACCAAAACATAATAAGGACAAATTTATCATGACAGCAACTATCATCATAATTATCCTGCAAAGAGCCCATTAACTTAAATTAGGGAGTGGCCTTATTGCAGAACAATGAATTGGCATTTTTTAGAATTTCTACTGAACTGTATTTGACATGGGTGGGCTTATTACCGGGCATGATGTCATTGGTAGATACATATGGTAGTACACAGCATACCATATATAGTAATACCAGGTAATTACACAATATACAGGGAAGTATTGTGCTTACCTCTGCTTACAACTGTACAGTCCCTGGGAACTGTCATCACAGGTACATGTGCGTTTACAGCCATCACTCCATGACTCGCCTTGCTTATAGTAGACTCCATTGTACACACAGTATCCTTAACATTCACAAAACAAAATATTCATGATAATTTTATCAAACTTCAAGTGCAAAAATAAAAAAAATAAAATCAGTCTTTATGCTAAGTTAGACATAGTTATTTGGAATTAAAACGATGTAATGAACAGTTAAAGCATCTCAGATTTTAATTTCTATTCCATGTAAAATCCAGTGTGATACAATCTACAACAATAAGGTCAATAATATACAGTTAGGACTATCACAGAGTATCCATGTGATCTTTAAGAGCAGAAATTTTACATTGGAATATTTTACAAACTTGGCAAGGGCAACTGTGAATATACATACCGCTGGTGGCAGTCTGTGGGGGGCGGCTACCTCCGATAGGTGGATTAGTCTGGGGCTGAATGACGAAGGGGTTGGGTGTAGTTGGATTTGTGAATGGTTGGTACTGTGGCGGGACTGTCTGGATGGGCTGATTGGTGTGTGTCTGGTCACAGTATGGCACAGGGCAGCAAGGGTTCCGTGGGTCCTTCACCAGGGTACAGTATTGTGGTAGATTGGGGTACTTGTTACACCTTAGAAAACAAAAACGGTACAGTGTTTATTTTATAAAAAAAATATATAAATTAACTAATCATTTAATAGACAATACGGTTTCCTTCAAATTCCAAACCAACAAACAGATTAAGCCATGTAGAAGCTTTGTCTATTCCTCAAAATTTTACAGGGACAAATTTTGAAAAAGTTTTTCTTACCTCTCTGTACACTTGTATCTTCCTGTCATGTCATCAAGACATTCACAGTGGTACTGACAGCCATCATCCCACATCTGTCCCTTGGAGTAGATTCGACCCTTGTATAGACACCCTACAACAAAACTGTCATTTGTAATTATCTGTCAACAAACAGCTGCAAGTGACATGATTGTACACACACATCTATTGTATATCACGAAACATTATCAGGGGGAAAAGGATTTTACTTATGCTATTTTTGATAAGTATTTTCCATTGCAGGCAGTATTATGCAAAATTTACACTAATGGAAATTAATTTTACCTGCACAATATTTATTAACAGGCATTTTCCTCTGCTGGTGGTGTTGGGCAAAATTTACACTTGAGAGAAAAGGAATTTATCTGTGCAATTTTTAATAATAGGTATTTTCCATTGTTGGCAGTATTGGGAAAAATTCACACTAGGGAAAGAAATATTTTACAGGTGAAAGGCAAAAATTTAACAGAACTAAAGTTTTTTTCAGTATATAGCATCAACAGTCACATTGTACTAACATGTGACTGTAAAATGACAGGAAAATGGGTGAAATATTTTAAATGCACTGATTAAAAAATATGGGCTAGATCTGCATCATGAGTGATTAATATGGGGTTAGGGTTTGTTGTAGGATTGTATTACCTGGTGTAGGGGCTGGAGTAGGTTGGAGAGTTTGACCTGGTGGTAAGGTTACAGGTACCGGTATTCCATTAGGTCCAATCATTGTTGGCTGTGGAGTAGGTTGTGGGGTTGGTGGATGACCAAATCCTTCAATTCCACCATAAACTGGTGTGGGCTGGTACACAAGCCCTGGGGTGGGACTGACACCCTGGGATGGCTGTGGGAGGGGGCACTGAGGCACCTGACAACATTGGGGATCCTTGGGGTCAGCTGTCAGAGTACATCCTGAGGGTAGGTTGTTGAATTTGCTACATCTGCATTACGGAAAAACATGATTAAAAGCAGAATTCTTTTAAGACAAACACTAATATTTACCATCGTATGGCATTGCCACTATATCACTATATAACCCTACCAAATTCAGTTGGCATTCATAAAGGCTATGAATGCCATGGACCAATTGTTGACGTCCTCATTATTATGATGTCATAATTGTTACGTTGGGTACCACTGACCCTCCCCAGGCGATGGCTGTTCTATTCATTTAAAAAACATACACGATACATACATTATTTGAATCTAATGCTGAATAACAATAAGTGTAATTTGATTTTCTATGAGATGAACAGATTCCAAAAATGGTAAATATATTATTGAACTCTTTTCAGTTGGCATACATAGTCAATATGAATTCCAACTGGACAAATGCAAATCCAACATGAAGCGCTAGATTTTTCAGATCAATGTGCCCAATAAACCAGGCTGGAGCATACCTCTGTTGACACCTGTAGAAACCCATGGTGGAGTTCTCACAGCGACAGATCAGGTTACAGCCATCATACCACTGCTGGCCCTGACGGTACACCTGGCCGTTGTATACACACATATCTGGAAACACAAACATTTGATATTTGTAAGTTTTAATTGTTAAATGGCTATGTATGACAACCAGTAAATGTTTATGTCATGTAACATTTGGTAATTGTCATGTGACCTTTAATAACTGTCATGTGACTTTTGATAGCTGTCATGTGACCATTAAAAACTGTCATGTGACCTTTGATAGCTGTCATGTGACCATTAAAAACTGTCATGTGACTTTTGATAGCTGTCATGAGACCATTAAAACTGTCATGTGACCATTAAAAACTGTCATGTGACCTTTGATAGCTGTCATGTGACCATTAAAAACTGTCATGTGACCTTTGATAGCTGTCATGAGATAATTAATTACTGTCATGTGACCTTTAACAACTGCCATGTAATCGTTACTTACTGTCATAAAACCTTTAACACTTTAACCCCTGCAGGCCCACAAGATACTTACTTGGGGAGGTGAAGGTTCCTGGCTGTCCAGGGATTGGCTGTTGTGGGTTGTAGGGGTTGAATGGGTTATTGACACTAGGGGTAGGATTGGGGTTGTTGCCACCAGGGGTAGGATGGGGGTTATTGCCAGTGACAGGGGGCTGTGTCTGTTGGATTGGACAGTAGGGCACCTGGCAGCAGTTATCCTTAGGATCTTGTACCAGAGTACAGTATGATGGCACCTGGGGATTTCTCTGACATCTGAAACACAACAACAATTAATCATGTTTTGCCTCAAGTTGTTGGTGCAATGAAACAGGTGTTTCCATAGTCAGAATTAAATTTATAAATGAGTGATATAATTATGTAACTCTGATATTATATTTATTGTAGAATATAACTTTTACGAATTAAATTTATGTGTAGAAAATGACATCATTATCACCAAACTGAACTTAATTTTCTCGCAAGATCTACTTGATCTACACTGCTCACATTTCACAGATATAATACTGATATATATATATATAACTGCTGGAGCGTAAAACAGTTATCTAAATTTAATGTACAAATTTTACAGTTTTACAAAACAGTTGCTCACTCGAGATTTTAGCGACAAATGTTTTGTCAACCCTTCGCGAGTCTGTTGACAGTCAAACATCAGCCAAAGTGATACCTACCTTTCAGTACACTTGTACCTGCCTGTGGAGGCGTCGGCACACTCGCACTGGTACAAACATCCATCATCCCATTTATCACCCTGTTGGTAGGTCTTACCATGGTACACACATGTATCTGTAAGAGTTCAATAATGACATTAGTTTCATTCAAGCCTAGATTAGTAAAAATAAAAAGCTATTTTGAGACATGGAATTTTCTCTGAACAAACATAAAACCATAAAATGTCCATAAGAAATGTCTGACCTCTTGGCCCTTCAGTCAGTAGATTAATGTTCATGAATCTGTCAAAATAGGAATGGATGACGTATGAATAGCAACAGTGACAATTGCAACATGACTTGACGGGATGGACATGGATAACAGGGTTGCCAATCTCACACTGAGATGTCCTAGCTCACACTGAAACGTGTCTCATGCCACGTGAACCATAGAACACGCATTCGAAAATGTTCCCTCTCCATGTCACGTGAAGCCATATGACCTCCTTCACCACCCACCCAATTAAATGGGGTATATGGGGAAGGGGGCGTAAAAATATGCATATTGATGATGTGTTGATAGGTGTGTTGTTAGGGAACACTTACTGCGCTGTGAGTTGAAAGGTAAACCTGGCTGGCTGTTTGGGTTTACTGGGGCTCCTCCTGTGAAGGTTCCCTTGGGTCCTGTCACCACCTGGTAAGGGTTAGTTGGGTTGGGGTTGATACACAGTGGTGCCTGGCAACACTGGTCATTGGGGTCTGTCAGTAACCGACAACCGTCATGTAGGGCTGGGTAGTTGGGGCACCTAAACAAGAAAACAATTATCACTAATCAATAAATACACAGACAAGATACAAGAATTTTTCTTTAACATCAAATTTTCAAAACAGTAGATATTAGCACTGTAGAACTATTTATGCGACACTTTTATTTTTCTAAATCTTAACCTTATGACATAGCAGGCAGTCCTGGAGATGGACTTCTATAAGTTGAAAATTGTTTTTCCAAATCTAATTTCAGCAATTATGTATAAATTTATACATGTATTATTATTTTAAATGATAACGAAATGACTATTATCGTGAATTGTCTTAGCGAACCTCTCATTACAGTTGACTAAGCCAGTCTTGGCATCTTCACAGACGCAACGTTTCTCACAGCCTACGTCCCAGCTCTGGCCCTGAGGGTATGGTACACCATTGTAGATACAGTAATCTGGAAGTAAAACAGACCATGAAGACTCCAGTATCAAACAAACAAAATGTAGGAGACAGCAGTATTTAGCATACCAATATGAGGGTTGGGGTTGTGAAACTTAGGGTTGAAAGGTTTGTACCGTAATTACTGTTTGTATACTGACCTGGTTGAGGGTTGGGGTTGTGAAACTTAGGGTTGAAAGGTTTGTAATTACTGTTTGTATACTGACCTGGTTGAGGGTTGGGCTTTGGTGTTGGATTGAATCCTGGTGGGAAAGTGGATCCTGGACCTGGTGTAGGTACTGATCCACAGTCAGGGGTAGGACAGCATGGGTCTTGGGGGTTGAACTTCAGCTGACAGTTCAGTGGCACATTAACCAAGTTGGTACATCTGTTAATTATAAAAAACTTTATTATCAATTAAGATAATGAAAATACAATTAATCTTATTTTTTTCCGAAAATAACTCTTTGAATTCAACTAAAAATTATTGTTTAATAAAGAAACACCTTAAAAATCTAAATGTACCATTATTCATTGCGAGATTTGCAGAGATATCGTAATACATCCCATTTCAATGCCCTGACTGTTTGCCATGATTTTTGCCAATGATGACTTGGATCGTTGGAGTTACTTTTTTATTAAAGTGGCTATTAATTTCCTGGGGTTTTTTAACATGATTGACGATGTTTATTCAATTTGGTCAATCTGATCGAAGGTTTACTGTAACTTCAATATTCATCATATTATTTTATTTAAACTCACCTCTGCACACACTTGTAGCGACCAATACTAGAGTCGACACACTCACAAGTATAGTCACAGCCGTCCTGCCATCTTTGTCCCTGACTGTACTGTCTTCCCTTGTACACACACACCTCTGTGACAGGAAGCAATGTACCATACATATATTGGGTAGAGCAACAATATAATATACTAAGTGGGCAACAATATAATGTATTCACTAAGTGGGGAACAATATAATGTATTCACTAAGTGGGAAACAATATAATGTATATACTATGTGGTAAACAATATAATGTATTTACTAAGTGGGGAACAATTATATAATGTATATACTATGTGTTGAAAAATATAATGTATATACTATGTGGTGAACAATATAATGTATATACTATGTGGTGAACTATATAATGTATTTACTACGTGGGGAACAATATAATGTATTTACTAACAGGGGAACAATATAATGTATTCACTAAGAGGGGAACAATATAATGTATTCCCTAAGAGGGGAACAATATAATGCATATACTATGTGGTGAACAATACAATGTCATTACTAAGAGGGGAACAATATAAGGTATATACTATGTGGTGAACAATATAATATATTTACTAAGTGGGGAACAAAATAATGTATATACTATGTGGTAAACAATATAATGTATATATTATGTGGTGAACAATATAATGTGATTACTAAGAGGGGAACAATATAAGGTATTCACTAAGAGGGGAACAATACAATGTATATACTAAGTGGTGAAAAATATAATGTATATACTATGTTGTGAACTATATAATGTATTTACTACGTGGGGAACTATATAATGTATTTACTACGTGGGGAACAATAGAATGTAATTACTAACAGGGGAACAATATAATGTACTCACTAAGAGGGGAACAATATAGTGTATATACTATGTGGGGAACTATATAATGTATTTACGAACAGGGGAACAATATAATGTACTCACTAAGAGGGGAACAATATAGTGTATATACTATGTGGGGAACAGTATAATGTATATACTATGTGGGGAACTATATAATGTATTTACTACGTGGGGAACAATATAATGTATATACTATGTGGTGAACAATACAATGTGATTACTAAGAGGGGAACAATATAATGTATTCACTAAGAGGGGAACAATATAATGTATATACTAAGTGGTGAACAATATAATGTATATATTATGTGGTGAACAATATAATGTATTTACTAAGTGGGGAACAATATAATGCATATACTATGTGGTGAACAATATAATGTATTTACTAAGTGGGGAACAATATAATGTATATACTATGTGGTGAACAATACAATGTGATTACTAAGAGGGGAACAATATAATGTATTCACTAAGAGGGGAACAATATAATGTATATACTAAGTGGTGAACAATATAATGTATATATTATGTGGTGAACAATATAATGTATTTACTAAGTGGGGAACAATATAATGCATATACTATGTGGTGAACAATATAATGTGATTACTAAGAGGGGAACAATATAATGTATATACTATGTTGTGAACAATATGATGTATTTACTAAGGTACCGTATATATGTTGGGTAAGGCAACAATATAATGTATATATTATGTGGTGAACAATATAATGTATTTACTAAGTGGGGAACAATATAATGTATTCACTAAGAGGGGAACAATATAATGTATATACTAAGTGGGGAACAATATAATGTATATACTATGTGGTGACATATACTATGTGGTGAACAATATAATGTGATTACTAAGAGGGGAACAATATAATGTATATACTATGTTGTGAACAATATAATGTATTTACTAAGGTACCGTATATATGTTGGGTAGGGCAACAATATAATGTATATACTATGTGGTAAACAATATAATGTACTTACTAAGAGGGGAACAATATAATGTATTCACTAAGTGGGAAACAATATAATGTATATACTATGTGGTAAACAATATAATGTATTTACTAAGAGGGGAACAATATAATGTAAATACTAAGAGGGGAACAATATAATGTATATACTATGTTGTGAACAATATAATGTATTTACTAAGTGGGGAACAATATAATGCATATACTATGTGGTGAACAATATAATGTAGATACTATGTGGTTAAAAATATAATATATTTACTAAGTGGGGAACAATATAATGCATATACTATGTGGTGAACAATATAATGTGATTACTAAGAGGGGAACAATATAATGTAAATACTAAGATGGGAACAATATAATGTATATACTATGTGGGGAACAATATAATGTAAATACACTATGTGGTGAACAATATAATGTATATACTATGTGGTGAACAATATAATATATTTACTAAGTGGGGAACAATGTACCATATTGGGTAGGAAGTAATATAATGTTTATACTAAGGTACTGTATATATATTGAGTTTTGGAAAAGGAAAAATATGAGAGTTTTGATTTCTTTACTACCACCATGATTAGTTATCATTTCCTGACTGGTACTTTAGTCTTTTTATATGGGACATCTTAGAATTCACTAACCGTATCTATATATATTGGTGAGACAGAAATTATAAATAAACTAGAAAATGTCTATTAGACATGAATGCCCCTGAAACACAACAATGTCCGAGGTATACTCATACTTGACTTTTGTATTAAGTTTGACGAAAATCTGTTAAAGAATGAAGTTGCTAAGTGTTTACATTGAGACGGGACGGACATGGGCAACTCGATATGCCCCCCCCCCCCCCCCCCCCCCCCCTCGGGGGGNCACATGGGATTAGTCTGTCTCATTGTAATATTTAGAGAGGTAGTGTTATATGGCACAGAAATCCTTTGACACTTTGACATGGGGAGGGGGTGGGGGTCCTTTGACTCTAACATGGATGGTGTTGTGCTATGAAACTTACGTGGAGGAGGTTGTTCTGTGACAGGATTGTTGGTGTAGGTCTGGCCTGGGGGCGGTGTCAGGATGACAGAGTTGGTAGACGGAGGTGTCGGGGTGTTCTGGCCAATGATAACAGGTGGCATCTGTGTGTTGATACCCTCACACTTGGGAAACTTGCAGCACTGTGGGTCCTGGGGGCTTGGTACCATAATACACATAGGACTCAGGTTTTTGGTATCATACTGAGGGCATCTGTAAATATGAGAACAGTATTAGAATACACTGATTTACTTAGATTGGAAGTACTGATATCAGCAAAACTGATATTAATAAGGTAGTGTTTCTGAGGTAGAAATTACTCAAGTCATAAATATAACTTTAAAACATATAAGCAAACTCATCATACTAATCTATTCTGTTAGCAGTAACAAAATAACTGGTAAGTTGAATGAGTAAACTTTAAGGTGACCTCAGGTCTAGAGCTTGTCACTAGACCTTGACCTTATTTGTACATATAGGGTCAAATTTAATAAGTTTGAATCCATTAGTATTATGAATGAGAAGCAATCAATTAATTATTGCATCCTTTTATAACTGTACGCTTGACCTTAAGTGTTAAAACAGCGATCAATGATCCCCTGACCTTTCTCTACAGGAAACATGACCAGTCTTGCCATCTTCACACACACAGATCTGTTGACAGCCATCATAGAAAGTCTGTCCTTGGGTGTAAAGCTTGCCATTCATGATACATCCCTCTGTAAAACAAACCAAGCCAGAAGGGTAACTCCTCGTGACATGAATTTCTGTACAACCATAAAACAAAAGAAATGTGAACCTGCCCCGCTCGTCTTTGAGGTCTAGCCTCACCCAATGTCAACACAGATACAAATGTCAACCTGCCCGTCGTCTGTGAGGTCCAGAAACATCCAACGTCAACACAAAAACAATTGTAAATCTGCCCCAGTCAACTTTGAGGTCTGGTCACACCTAACGTCAACACAAGTATAAAATTAATGTGAACCTGCCCCAGTCAACTTTGAGGTCTGGTCACACTCAATGTCATCACAAGTATAAATGTGAACCTGCTCCAGTTGTCTGTGAGGTCTGGTCACACCCTACATCAACACAAGTATAAATGTGAACCTACCCCAGTCGTCTTTGAGGTCTGGTCACACCCAATGTCAACACCAAGTATAAAATTAATGTGAACCTGCCCCAGTCGCCAGTGAGGTTTGGCCACACCCAACGTCAACACAAGTATAAAATTAATGTGAACCTGCCCAAGTCGTCAGTGAGGTTTGGCCACACCCAATGTCAACACAAGTATAAATGTGAACCTGCCCGTCGTCTGTGAGGTCTGGCCTCACCCAATGTCAACCCAGATACAAATGTGAACCTGAGGTCCGGAAACATCCAACATCAACACAAGTATAAATGTGAACCTGTCCCAGTCGTCAGTGAGGTTTAGCCACACCCAACGTCAACAAAAGTATAAATGTGAACCTGCTTCATCGTCCTATGATTTTCCTCATACACTCATTGCATTGCAAATTTACAACTATCGTGAAAAGACAAAAACAAAATATAATGTTTGGTGCACAACTAAATGAAGTACTGATCGTGCATCAACTCATTAGTTTAGGAGTTGTTAATGCAAGATTTTATCCATGGACAGACTGACTTAACTTTGTTGCAAGGGGAATGTTAAATTTAGAATGCTTTATATTTCTACATTTAATAAGGTCAAATGTCAACCTTTATGTTCCATCAATAAAACCACATATAATGAGGGTCTCACTGTAACTTTTCTCCAGTCGTTCATTATCTCATTTAGTTATCTGTGCAGACTATCTTTTTGAAGACATTTTTTGGTTCTTGCCAACTCAAAAAGAAAACACAAACCTGTTCTAACTGTATCTCACCTCTTGGTGCCTGTGTTGGTGCTGGGGTAGGAACACCTGGTGTGGTGATACGGGGCGGGTACAAAGTCTTGCCGTTGGGTCCAGTTGGGGCTGGAGTTGGGGGCAGGGTGGTGGGCAGAAGAGGGTTAGGACTGGGACTGTTGTGTGGGGGACAGTATGGGATCTTACAACAGGGCCGTTTAGTATCTTGTACCATGTAGCAGCCTACTGGTAGTTTGGAGAAACGTGGGCAGCTGTAATGAAATGAAATAATTTAATCTAGGCACAGCAAACAATACAAATTACAAAGACGTAAAAGATTTATAATCATAAGGGAGTACGGTAATATTTCATTGTCGAAAATCAGTATAATGTGGTAGGTCTTTGATATATACACTCACATTTGTTAACAAGTCGCCCATGGGCCTTAACGGTCACCTGAGTCCTATAGTATTTATTTTTGTTGTGAAATATGAAGTGGAGATAATGATGTCAATCATCCCTACCAATTTGAGTAAAATATAGTCAAGTATAACGTTAAGTTCAGTTTGTCATGACCATGAGTTGATCATTCTTAGACCAAGTTTCAATTAAATCAGCTTATTAGAACTTTTCTTTCTTCAAAATGGCAGCCGTGGTGGCCATATTGGATTTTTAATAGGCTCTTAAAAAAAAAAAACTTTGGCAGGACAATGAGTTGATCATTCCTACCAAGGTTCAGTTAAACTGGCCCACTAGAACTGGACTTGTAAGTTTGAAAAGGTAATTTTCAAAATAGCGGTCGTGGCAGCCATATTGAATTTTTGATCGACCCGAAAACAACACATTGTCAGGACCATGAGCCGATCATTCCTACTAAGTTTCAGTTAAATCGGCTCAGTAGAACTTGACTTTAAGTTTGAAATAGTTTTTCAAAATGGCGTCTATATTCGATTTCTGATCAACCCGAAAAATAACAATGCTTGGTCACGGAGATGTCAGTAACAATCCAAAGAAGTATCAATGAAATCCCTTCGACAGTATTTCAGCTTAAGTTTAAAAATGAAAAATGTTAACGCACGACCGACGATGCACGATGACGGACCAAGACGGATAGCAATAGGTCACTTGAGCTAAAGCTCAGGTGACCTAAAAAGAACTATTACTGTGACATGATTTTTATGACAACAAAATACATTGTATTATATAATTAGTAACATAACAGTGATCTTGGCCTCGCAGCTGCGGAGTACCAAGATGAGGCCTTAACCCCTTAAATAAATAAATAAATTCTTTCCTATCCCATTATGACATTTATTTGTATTCATTCAAACACATTCTGTCAACTTCTTTTCCATATATGTTCAAATTAAAATTTTGACATTAATTTGGTAAATAAGCAAGACAATCAACCCAATATCAACATACAGAACCCAATGATATAAAATGGTCAGGTATACAGCTGTGAGCCAAGAGAAACACAGGCAGTGATTGTTGGTGAAAAAGTAAAGATAAAGATCCCAAAGATTGTGATAGTGCAACAAATCAATGGAGGATTCTTTATATCCCTTTTAAAAATATCTGAACCAAAAGAAAACCCCTGGTTACATATTCAGAGGGCATCATATTAGTCAATTTTAATGATCCCATCCTGTACATCAGCTAAGATGTTTCATAGCTCACTCCCCCACCCTACTCCTATAACATAAGAGGCCACTGATATGATTTTGCCGATGTGATGCGGCGCCTGTCAAAAGTATCTCGCCATGTAAACCTCTAACAGTGTTGGAGTATCCCCCACCCCTTTTTGCTACAGGATTCTAAATACTGTGAACTTACTTTTCCGTGCAGGCATATCGTCCCGATACTTCATCAATACACTCGCATTTGTAGGCACAACCATCATCCCAATGGTCACCAGTGCTATACAAACCTCCCTTGTATTCACATTTGCCTGTAGTAGAAAATAGGTTCATAGAAAAAATCTCTCAACAAGGATAATTATAGCATAACTGAATACTGGAAAATTTACCACAGGACAAAAACTTGCCCTACTTTTGCTCCTAATGATGAAAGCACAAGTTCATTACTTGAAAATTTCCCGATTTTAACAGTTCTTCGGTAGAGTCCAAACATAGAAATAGGGCCTTTAAGATTTCTGATTGAGTAATGAAAGAAAGGAAAGTGTCCAAGTACTAATTATGCAGATTTATGCAACACAAAGTTACAGAAGGATGAAATTGTAGTACTTTTCAGGTGCATATATACCATATAAATTTACTATAGGTCCTCATGAAATATTATGATGTTATGTTCTGGATAAATAATGGAAAAGGTTATTTTGCTAGCATATGTACTTCATTCAATTTCACAAGTGAGCTGTCTTTAATTAGGGTTCTTATCAGGTAGGGGGTCAATTCTTGCATAATTTAATACAAAACTCACTTGTCTTGGAGCCCGGGTTGGGTACCGGGTTGCTCCCACCTGGTCCGGGGGTTGGTTTTCCTCCAATAATCACACCTCCTGGAAGAGTAGGTACTGCATAGGGATTTGGAGTGGTCTGTCCTTGAGGAGTGGGTGAAGCTGAGGGGTGGAGGTTTGGACTGTCTGTTGGTACAGGCTGACCTCCTGGGAGGGTCGGGGGAAATTGTGTAGGGTGGAGGGATGGAGCAGGAGTCGGGTTGTTGCCTCCAGGCACATATGGGGTGGGGGCTGCAGTCGGCATGTTGTTGCATTGAGGAACTTGACAACAGGGATCATTAGAATCGGTGACCATTGTACATCCTGGTGGCAAATCTGGGAAACTTGCACACCTGTCGGACAACAAAACAGATCAGTTACAGTTTGGAGTAAAATCCAACATCTGTTGCAAAACAAAACAAGTCAGTTCATAGAACAGTTCAAAGTTTTCTTGCTTTCAAGTTTTCCTGACAAATAAGAAATGTTGTTTAAGAACAGATTTTCCTAATACAGGTAGTGTATCTTTCAGTCTAAACCAAGTCCAACAGAACTTACTCCTATATATAAACAGCTTCTTCATTGAAGACTAATTTGAAAAAGGTAATATTACACTCAAGACGTTTTGCATTAAAAATCTCATTGTGAATTTATTCTTTTAATGAAGAGAGATATGTGGCCTCTGGGACAATCTTTTCTGAGAGCAAAAAATTGTTCTGTAGCTAACTGATTTTTAAGGTCCCATAGGCTTCATTATAAACAGATTTTATCTTAGTTATCAATCTTGGGCTCATTCTTGACCATTGAGATAGGGAACGATGTTAACTTATCCATTAAATTTTCACCTGTCAAAGCATGTATAGATGTTTTTGGAAGCTTCGTCACATCTGCATTTCTTCGTGCACCCAGCATCCCATGTCTGTCCCTGCAGGTAAGGCACACCACTGTACAGACAGAAAGCTGAAAAAAAACCAAGGCACACAATTATACAGACAGCTGAATACTGGAGAATAAGGCACAAATGCATTATTCAGACAGAATGCTAACAGACCAGGTCCAATGATATAATGACAGAATACTGAAAGGAACAAGACGTACCATCGTTCAGAACGCTGAAACATTGTACAGACAGAATACTGAAAACTTCTGAATTATAATGGACATTTAGATATAAAACTGTACACAACACATTCAAAACTTCCATAAAAGATAACACAAACACGACATTAGCACTTCAAACCACCAGTTATACAGAATCCAGGAAAGACTAGGCCTGTATACATGATGTTACTACATAATACTGAAAAGGACAAGACATATCACTGACAGTAGAGACAGATTGCTGAAACATAGAATAAAGAAAACCTTTGAATTGACACTGTGTTCCCAACATGAAGTTTAAGATGCACAGCCAGTTTTATTCTAACACAAGCCATTCAGATTGATATGTCTCGCCTGTGGCCCACTTTGACCATCAATGCACATATCAGAGAAACTTGTAACTAACTTATGGACCATGAAAGGTAGGCCGTATCCAGCATTTGATGCATGGGTTGAGATGTACTACCTAATATGCATGTATGGTCCAAGTTTGGTTGGTATAGCACTTTCAGTGAAACTAACTTAAACGCAAAAATTTAATGTTGACCCGTCCACCAGAATAGCAACACCTTAGTCTCGCTTTCGCTTCTTCATGGCAGCGTGACAAAAATCTGAGTGGTTGTGCAGTATACCTGTTGGTGGTGTGTTGTTGGGTCGAGGAGAGGCGGTGGGTCCGGTCCCTGGTGGGTTGTTGGTGTTGGGAGGGAACATTGTTGGTGCTGGTGTGGTCGTAGGCTGGTAGTCACACGATGGAACCATACAGCAGTAGTCCTTGGGATCCCTCTGTAAATGACACTGGCGAGGCAGTTGTGGGAACACAGAGCACCTGGAAAACACACACAAATGAGTACTTTACATCGCATTAACTAGAGAACGCATCCACAACACCAATACAACATAACAAATACAAAACACCAGAACAACATATACACAACACCAGTACAACACAATACATACACATCAACAGTACAACACAATACATACACAACACCAATACAACATAACAAATACAAAACACCAGAACATATACACAATACCAGTACAACACAACACATACACAACACCAGAACAACATATACACAACACCAGTACAACACAATACATACACAACACCAGTACAACAAAACACATACAAAACACCAGTACAACAAAACACTTACAAAACACCAGTACAACACAACACCAGAACAACATACACACAACACCAGTACAACACAATACATGCACAACACCAGTACAACATATACACAACACCAGTACAACATATACACAACACCAGTACAACACAACACATACACAACACCAGTACAACACAACACATACACAACACCGGAACAGCATATACACAACACCAGTACAACACAACACATACACAACACCAGTACAACACAACATATACAAAACACCAGTACAACACAACACATACACAACACCAGAACATATGCACAACACCAGTACAACATATACACAACACCAGAACATCATATGCACAACACCAGTTTTACACAACACATACAAACACCAGTACCACATAACACATACAAACACCCATACCACATAAAACAACCTACATAATCATCAACAACACATTTAACTCACCTCTCTGTACAGACATATTTGCCGGTCATGCCGTCCTCACATACACAATTGTACTGACAGCCATCTTGCCATCTCTGTCCAGTCTGATAGGCAGTGCCCTTGTATAGACACACATCTATAATAATGTAATACAAATAAAATGTAGAACCGTTATAACAAACCAATCAAGTACAAGCATATATCTTTAAAGTGATACGATAGCCACATAATAACAAGAGGCCTAATGGGCTGGTATCACTCACCTGTTTCATGTGTTATCTGAATTAGACAAGAAGGCAAAGTGTTTCTGCTAACTTCAGTCCCAGGTGGCTGAGTATTTCAAATTTTGATTAAACCAAAGAGTAATCCCTGGTAAAATAACTATTTTTCATGGGAAACGAAAAAACTATTTGTATGCTGTGTGATTACAACTGATCACATTAGACCATTTTGAACTCCAAACCAACCCAAAAACACAGCACCTGTTCAGCACCATGAAATCAATGTCCTCATCAATGGCCTGGTGGAAACTGTCTTGGTCAATAAGAAGTATTTCTTGACCCAAGGATACTTCATGCTAGATTACGTTCAAATCAGTTCACTTGAATCTAACTAGCTTTTAAAATTAATCACTCACAATCCCTATCGCGGCCCCACCCCCTTCCCTTGGACCCAGGGAGACCATGATTCCCCCCCCCCTGCCCATGCGGGGGCATAATCTATAATGGAGTGCATATGTACAAGTTTATACAAGAACACACAATAACAGAAATATAGGATCTTACATGAGTTTCCATTTCAAATAATATTTATGAAATGAGTCTAAGAATTTTTTAATTTAGCGAGCCTCTGGCGAGCTAAAACGAAAAATTTGTGACGAGTTTCATAAATTTCATATGAAATGAAAACGAGTGTAAGATCCTTTTTATCACATAATCAAGATTTGTGGCATTTATTCGTGTAAAATGAGTTTTCATGCAACTTTGAAATTTTGACTCCAGTGCGTAAGTCTGTGATGTCATGTACTTGTCCTAGGCGTGACATCACAATTGAAACAATTGGAACTTACAACCAATCACAGGGCTGATGGGTCATATTACATGGGGTAATATGCAAAAAAATATGACATGAGTATTTCAACTGGATAACACAGTACATTATGTAATAAATCAATGTCTCTCCGCTCCCTCCACCACCCACAAACAGCCGCATACATACAACCCCCCACCCCCATCCCCAAACACCCACACACATACAAATTATACGCTGTAGCCTACTCACGTGGAGCTGGTGACACACTGGGAGTAGGACTGGGACTTGGACCTGGTGTTGGCTTTGGTGTGGAAACTCCTGGCATTGGAGAATATGGTATGGGAGTGTTGACTCCTGGTGTTGGTGAGAAGTTAGGATTATACGGGTTTGGAGATGTTGGTAGACCTACTGTTGGTCGCGTTGTCTGACCGAACCCAGTGACCTTTCCTGGGATACCTGTAATGAGGACTGGCCCAGAGCTGGGGTTAGGTGTGGAATTTCCTCCAGTGCCAGGATAACACTTTGGTATCTGGCAACATGTTGGATCTTTCGGGTCAGGAACAAAGGTACAGCTGGATGGCAGGTTGGGATAAGCAGCACACCTGAATTATAACAAAAACATATTCAAGGAAGCTCATGCATAAGTTTCAAGAGTGAAATCATTACATCAACACGAAAGCAAGGATAGAGAGATTTTCCGACTAAGCAGACAGCTTGAAAAATAAATCTTTGCTTTTTTTGACAGAGCAGACAGCTTGAATCTTTGCTTTTTCATTAGAAGTGCTACATTTTTTTATACCGCCTGCTGACCTACCTCTGTACACATCTGTAGTAACCGGTAGAGCCATCTTCACAGAAACACTTCAGGTTACATCCACCTCCATACCACTGCTGACCTTCTGTGTAGGTGTTGCCCTCGTATACACACACTGAAAACCAGTTGTACAAGTCAGTATCATCAATAAGTACCATCAGTACAGCTATCACTAAATACATACTGAAACACCAGCCTTTCCGGTCAGTACCATCAGTACAGCTATCACTAAATACATATTGAAACACCAGCCTTTCCTGTCAGTACCATCAGTACAGCTATCACTAAATACATCCTGAAACACCAGCCTTACCTGTCAATACCATCAGTACAGCTATCACTAAATACATACTGAAACACCAGCCTTCCCTGTCAGTACCATCAGTACAGCTGTCACTAAATACATACTGAAACACCAGCCTTACTGGTCAGTACCATCAGTACAGCTATCACTAAATACATATTGAAACACCAGCCTTACCTGTCAGTACCATCAGTACAGCTATCACTAAATACATACTGAAACACCAGCCTTACCTGTCAGTACCATCAGTACAGCTATCACTAAATACATACTGAAACACCAGCCTTACCTGTCAGTACCATCAGTACAGCTATCACTAAATACATACTGAAACACCAGCCTTACCTGTCAGTACCATCAGTACAGCTATCACTAAATACATACTGAAACACCAGCCTTACCTGTCAGTACCATCAGTACAGCTATCACTAAATACATACTGAAACACCAGCCTTACCTGTCAGTACCATCAGTACAGCTATCACTAAATACATACTGAAACACCAGCCTTACCTGTCAGTACCATCAGTACAGCTATCACTAAATACATACTGAAACACCAGCCTTACCTGTCAGTACCATCAGTACAGCTATCACTAAATACATACTGAAACACCAGCCTTACCTGTCAGTACCATCAGTACAGCTATCACTAAATACATACTGAAACACCAGCCTTACCTGTCAGTACCATCAGTACAGCTATCACTAAATACATACTGAAACACCAGCCTTACCTGTCAGTACCATCAGTACAGCTATCACTAAATACATACTGAAACACCAGCCTTACCTGTCAGTACCATCAGTACAGCTATCACTAAATACATACTGAAACACCAGCCTTACCTGTCAGTACCATCAGTACAGCTATCACTAAATACATACTGAAACACCAGCCTTACCGGTCAGTACCATCAGTACAGCTGTCACTAAATACATACTGAAACACCAGCCTTACCGGTCAGTACCATCAGTACAGCTATCACTAAATACATACTTAAACATAAGTCTTACCGGTCAGTACCTCCTTTACAGCAATACTGATAAGCGGTGAAATAAACACTATCATATAAAGTATAATATTGCCAATTGTGACATCCTAATCAAACTTATTGCTAACCTAAATAGTTAAAAAAAATGGAGTGCTTTACATCTGTTATGCTTTCTATGAGCATATGATAAAAATACTTCAAAAGTACATCATAATATAGCTCCCATTCCTTCTTTATGTTATGTAAGTCACTGAGGCTTGTTTCATCAAAAACATCTAATCGACACATAAAACACGTTTCTAGAATTCTAAGATACATTTACATAACATAATTTTAAGAAGAAAAATTCATAAATTGATAAAACTATTTTGTATGTTTTGCATTCCTAAATGTAAAGTGTTCATGAATATATAAAATGGTTGTTAGACAACTGTAAGCTAGGAATACCTTTTGGTTTAGGTGTAGGAGCTGGCGTTGGTCGAGGGGTGAAGTTAGGCCTATAACTTGGTGGTGGGCTATAGTTTGGTGGGTAGGTTCCTGTGTAGCCAGGTGGGAAGTATTGTCCTGGGGTATAGTTCGGTGGGTAGGTTCCTGTGTAGCCAGGTGGGTAGTATTGTCCTGGGGTATAGTTTGGTGGGTAGGTTCCTGTGTAGCTAGGCGGGTAGGTTTGTCCTGGAGTGGGTCTGGGTGTGGGGGCTCCTGTGTAGGGTGGACGTGTTCCACTTTGAATGGGTCCTGTGCCAACGCCCGGGGTACCGATTGGTACAAATGGTGTAGGAGCAGGAGTGATGGGTTTCACACACTGCAGCACCTTACAACACTGATCCTTAGGATCCACTACCAGATTACAGGTCGGGGGTAGTGACACTACATTGTAGGCACGGCACCTGTACACAAGATATATCACACACCAAGTCAGCAATTGTCACATCAATAGTATAAATAATGCAAGAATTGTTCATTGAATGTATTGTTTTCATTTTTTCCCCCTCATTTGTGTACATTTCAAACATGACAATAATTGAATTTTCTTATAAAAAAAATTAGAGGGCAAAAAATATTTTTTGGGAAATCTGATCATTATCAAGGATTTAAATGATACATTTAAGGCTAACGGTACAGTAATTAAATCGGGACACTTTTCAGTGAAATATTGATGTATTTCATACCATAGTACCGATCCAAGTAATTTTTGTTCACTTTACCTAAATAGATATTATTATCTTTTCATTTTGATAATAAGTTGATATTTCTATCGCATGGTTCTATAAATAAACCCGAAAATATAGTCATGGTTACGTTATCACGAAACAGGTGTAGCTGTACCCAAATCAGGACACCCCTACCAGTTTTGGCTTATATTTGGAGATGAAAAAAAGTATTAAAAACATTAGAACAGTAAATAAATTTCATATAATATTTTATTGGTATATTAGCATCTTTAAATCAATATTTTCAATTTAAAAATACTTATTTGGGTATTGTCCTGATTTGGGTACTGTCCCAATTTGGGTACTGTGATGGTAGCCCATGTTGAGAAAAAATATTATTGTTTTAAATAGGGAATTTTCTAATAGATCCATTTTAACATATGAATGATATTAAAAAAAAATCAAAAACTGCTAAATTAAGGTTTGCTACCTACCTCTGGACACATCTGTATCGGCCAGTGTGTTCATCAATACATTCACAGTTCAAGTCACATCCATCCTGCCATGTCTGACCAGTGTTGTATACAATTCCCTTGTACTGGCACTTGTCTGAAAAAATAGTCAATTCTCCTCAAAACACCAGCGAAAATCATCAAGTACATTGGCCAAATGATAGAAACATTATCAGATTATGATAGTCCGTGTTGATTTACATCCAATATTTCATTTCAATTAATGTGCAGAATCTCGGACACAAATGTCATTCATTCATTGACCATGGTAATTCTCTTTCAGACTATGGTGTGTAAGAAGTTTATAAAAGCACATTATGATTGTCACAATTAAATAACTTCATTTGACAGCAAAATCAGCTTCAGTTCTGATGTCAATTCTGGTGTGAGAGACACAAGGTCTATTTTAATACAACAATTCCACAGAAGTGGATGTGACACCAACACCAGCTTGGAAAGATTGAGGCCAATCACAATAATGTAAATGTTCTAAGAATATTGGTTACAAAGGTGACAACTGACAGTACTAGTTCTGATCTTACTGGTTACATATGTGACAACTGACAGTACTAGTTCTGATCTTACTGATTACACACGTGACAACTGACAGTACTAGTTCTGATCTTACTGATTACATACGTGACAACTGACAGTACTAGTTCTGATCTTACTGATTACACACGTGACAACTGACAGTACTAGTTCTGAGCTTACTGATTACATACGTGACAACTGACAGTACTAGTTCTGATCTTACTGATTACATACGTGACAACTGACAGTACTAGTTCTGATCTTACTGGTTACATACATGACAACTGACAGTACCAGTTCTGATCTTACTGGTTACATACATGACAACTGACAGTACTTGTTCTGATCTTACTGGTTACATACATGACAACTGACAGTACTAGTTCTGATCTTACTGATTACATACATGACAACTGACAGTACTAGTTCTGATCTTACTGGTTACATACATGACAACTGACAGTACCAGTTCTGAGCTTACTGATGACATAGGTGACAACTGACAGTACTTGTTCTGATCTTACTGATGACATAGGTGACAACTGACAGTACTTGTTCTGATCTTACTGGTTACATACATGACAATTGACAGTACCAGTTCTGGCCTTACTGACCACTTAGCTAACAACTCACACTGGTCCTTGGGCTTGCCGATACCGGTGATGATTGGGGGTGGGTTGGTGTAGATATCAGGGTTGATGGGCGTTGGTTTGGGAGTGGGAACTGGACCAGTCACACCAGGTGGCAGGGTTGGTGCAACGAAGGGCAAGGTAGGCTGGACCATCAGGTCAGGGTTACACTTGGGGCGACGACAGCAGGGGTCATTAGGACTAGTCTCCATTACACATCCGGGTCGTAGGGCACCATATTGGGGGCACCTGTAATGGAAGGCAAAATACAGTTAATACAATCTACACCAAGGGTGCTGAATTCAAAATGTAATAAAAAACAAAGACATAGATATACCCCAAACTCCACCCTCTTGAAGTGATCAGGCATATTTGACAACAACTATAAAGAAGTTCTATCAACTTATAGTAATCACTCGGTGCAGGGGTCTTAATGTGGGAGGACTTGAAGAAAACCCACATGGTGACATTTGATCTCTTAGCCTTGACAGATAACAATCAAATTCTAGGCAGGTGTAGAAATCAATATTTTAATACATGTACTACAGTGTAATTATAAGCATGAGCTGAAACTGTCTCAATATATTGTACACAATCTTTTTATTACAAAAGACATGGGCACTATATCAATAATAGTATCCAGCTCTTTACTTAGTGGGGAGTGGGTATGGGAAGCAGGAGGGGTATAAAATTGAAATAAGACTTACCTGTCAGAACATCTGTAGAACCCAGTTTTGCCGTCCTCACATATACAGTTGAGGTCACAGCCATCAGCCCAGGTCTGGCCTGGCTTGTACATGACACCATTGTACATACAGTTCTCTGTAATCAGAGGGAAACATTACACACAGTTCTCTTTAATCAGCGGGGAACATTACACACAGTTCTCTGTAATCAGCGGGGAACATTACACACAGTTCTCTGTAATCAGAGGGGAACATTACACACAGTTCTCTGTAATCAGCAGGGAACATTACACACAGTTCTCTGTAATCAGTGGGGAACATTACACATAGTTCTCTGTAATCAGTGGGGAACATTACACAGTTCTCTGTAATCAGCGGGGAACATTACACACAGTTCTCTGTAACCAGTGGGGAACATTACACATAGTTCTCCGTAATCAGTGGGGAACATTACACACAGTTCGCTGTAATCAGGGGGGAACATTACACAGTTCTCTGTAATCAGCTGGGAACATTACACACAGTTCTCGGTAATCAGAGGGGAACGTTACACACAGTCCTCTGTAATCAGCAGGGAACAGTACACACTGTTCTCTGTAATCAGCAGGGAACATTCCACACAGTTCTCTGTAATCAGTGGCGAACATTACACACAGTTCTCTGCAATCAGAGGGGAACATTACACACAGTTTTCTGTAATCAGCAGGGAACATTCCACACAGTTCTCTGTAATCAGTGGGGAACATTACACATAGTTCTCCGTAATCAGTGGGGAACATTACACACAGTTCTCTGTAGTCAGTGGGGAACATTACACACAGTTCTCTGTAGTCAGTGGGGAACATTACACACAGTTCGCTGTAATCAGGGGGGAACATTACACACAGTTAGCTTTAATCAGAGGGGAACATTACACACAGTTCTCTGTAATCAGAGGGGAACATTACACACAGTTCTCTGTAATCATAGGGGAACATTACACACAGTTGTCTGTAATCAGCGAGGAACATTACACACAGTTATCTGTAATCAGCAGGGAACATTACACACAGTTCTCCTCAATCAGAGGGAAATTTTACACAGTTTCCTTTAATCAGAGGGTAACATTAAACACAGTTCTCTGTAATCTGAAGGGAACATTACACACATCTGTAATCAGACAGAACATATACTTGCTGTTTCTCTGTAATCATTAGGAACATCAAACACAGTTCTCAGGGTTCTTGGAGACGAACAAACTACCATTAAACATCATCCAATTATTTTCCGTGGTGATGAATTGATTACAAGACAATTAAACTCTTTAAATGAACATACTTGGCTTGTTGGTTACGACTTGGCCTGGGGGAGGTGTGATGGTGATGACAGGAGGCTGATCTGTTGGGGCACAGTATGGCTTCATACAACAGGGGTTGTACATGTCTCGTACCAGCTGACAGCCTGGCTTTAGGTTAGTATACTTGGTACACCTAATGACAAAACCAACCTTCTTAAGTATCTACTTCAGGTATGCACGTCATTTCCAATGGTTTCTTCACTTATAATTGTTTGATGATGAGGCTAAATTAACAGCTAGTGAATTAAAGGTTTGAAAATAAGTTGTGTTGCATAGATGCTAATGGTTTTGTCATATGATGGAAACGGTAACCATAGAAAAAAATGACCTTGTTCTTGCAAAACTGGCTGGTCTACCATTTGGTTAACATATTGTATCATGATCAGAGAGCAATCACTCAGACAAATAAAACATATTTTCCTCTGTTGTTTAAAACGTAATCATAAAGATTGAATTTCATCTTTTTAATATTGATGATAGTATGCAACACATTTTCAAGTATCATGGGAATGTGGAACTGTGTTGAACCATCATCAACATAAACAAGAGTACTGCAGGGTGGAACAATATACGCCCGTCAAATGCCATATAGTGTTATATACTTTCTTACATTGAAATAAGATCTGCATCATTCTAAGAGTGGTTAGCTGACATGCTATAAAAAATTTAGAAGAAAATCTTCGGACAAAAAAACAAATACTGAAATGAACAAAGGACAATAACTATTTTGCAAAAATCGTCGAATCAAAATTCTTTTCAAGGAAACACTACAACCTATCATGATTATAATGTATACTAAGTTTCAAAGAGATCGGTTGAAAAATGTAGGAGGAGATTGCCAAACAAAAATCAAATACTGAAATAAACAAAGGGCAATAACTTTTTACAAAAATTGTTGAATCAAAATTCCCTTCAAGGAAACACTACAACCTACCATGATTTTTTAACCTACAAAGTTTCAAAAGAAATCAGTCAAAAAATGTAGGAGGAGATCTCCAGACAAAAAATCAAATATTGAAATGAACAACAACTTTTGGAAAAATTGTCAAATCAAAATTCTTTTAAGGGAGACACAACTTCTTATCATGATCATAATATATACCAAGTAACAAAGAGATCGGTCGAAAAATGTAGGAGGAGATTGCCGGACAAACAAAAGTTTACGCCGGACGGACAACCCCATACCATAATACTTCCGTCAAATTTGACGCGCGTATAAAAATAAAGATATATTTTAATACTAATATTTACCCACATTTGCAAACATGGACTTACTTCTCATTACACTTGTAGAGACCAGTTTTGCCATCTTCACAGATGCAGTCATAGCTGCAGCCGTCCTGCCATCTTTGACCAGTTGCGTACTGTTTTCCCTTGTAAACACACAAATTCTCTGCAATGCAAGAGACAAAATCAATTTGGTAGTTTGTACAGAACAAAGTTATCTCCCTTCCATCACAAATAACATGCATACAATAGTATGCACATGCTTTTGTTGAATGGTATGTCAGCATGTCATTAATTAAAGTGTGTCAGATGGATGTGGTTTATACCTTCTACAGATGGTACTGTATACATGGTGTAAATGATGTGATCTACCATTGTAGATATACGTGTGGTGGTGAGGTGGATAGTTAAGGTGGTTGTGATGTACATTTGTAGATATAGGTGTGGTTGGTATAGTTGTTAGCTGGTGTGGTGGAGAGGTGGATAGTTTGGGTGGTTGTGATATACATTTGTAGATATAGGTGTTAGCTGGTGTGGTGGTGAGGTGGATAGTTTGGGTGGTTGTGATGTACATTTGTAGATGTAGGAGTGGTTGGTATAGTTGTTAGCTGGTGTGGTGGTGAGGTGGATAGTTTGGGTGGTTGTGATGTACATTTGTAGATATAGGTGTGGTGGGTATAGTTGTTAGCTGGTGTGGTGGTGAGGTGGATAGTTTGGGTGGTTGTGATGTACATTTGTAGATGTAGGAGTGGTTGGTATAGTTGTTAGCTGGTGTGGTGGTGAGGTGGATAGTTTGGGTGGTTGTGATGTACATTTGTAGATATAGGTGTGGTGGGTATAGTTGTTAGCTGGTGTGGTGGTGAGGTGGATAGTTTGGGTGGTTGTGATGTACATTTGTAGATGTAGGTGTGGTGGGTATAGTTGTTAGCTGGTGTGGTGGTCAGGTGGATAGTTTGGGTGGTTGTGATGTACATTTGTAGATGTAGGTGTGGTCGGTATAGTTGTTAGCTGGTGTGGTGGTCAGGTGGATAGTTTGGGTGGTTGTGTTTAGGTGAGAGTGGTTGTTGGATAAGATGATTGAGACCTAATTTTGAAAACAGAAGTGGGTGTGGTTTTAAGGTGGGTGTGATTTTGAAAGTTGATATGGTAATAAGATTGTTAAATGGTTGTGTTTAGGTGAGAGTGATTGTTTGGTAGGTGATTGAGACTTAACTTTCTAAACAGGAATGAGTGCAGTTGGTAGATATGTGTTTTAAGGTGTGCATGGTTGTAAGGTTGGGCAACCTTTGCAAAAAGGATTGGGTGTGATCTTTAGGTGGATGAGAATGTCATATGAGTGTGGTTAAGTGGATGGGGTTGTAAAAGGTGCATTTTTGACCTACCTCTGTAGATAGGAGCCGGTGTGGTGGCTATAAGTGGTGGCTGTGGTGTCGGGATGAGAGGGTTAAACGTTGGGTTCACTGGTGGATTTGTTGGCCGGGTTTGGCCAGGGATTGGTACGTATGTACCCTGTGGTGAATTAGTCCCAGTGTTTGGTGGGTTAGTATAACTGACTGGTGGGTTGGTGGGGCGAGTTGGTCTGGGCGTGACAACACCGCCGACCACCTGAGCAGGTGACTCTGTCTGGAATAGCTGGTTCGGACTGGTGGGACAACTGGGCTTCTTACAGCACAAAGGATCGCTTGGGTCAGGTACCATGGTACAGGCTGCAGCTGGCCGAGGATACTGAGGACACCTAGGGAACACAACAGTTTGACATATTTTTATTGTTGTTCTGCATGGTTACATCCATTCAGGATTCACATGTAAAGGTCACATAAAATCGCAACTCAACATAATATTAAAGGTATCATTTTTTTATTTTCAGAAATTTTGTTAAATGAAGTAGAACAGTTATCATTTAATTCAGTAGAAGGATAAACATGAAAAAGGTCCCTAGCAAAAAAGGACACAATTGTAGATATAAGGGTGTTTTATCACATTTGGCATAATTCAATACAGTCAAATTTCCCATAACATAGAAAGTTAGTTACCTGTTGTTACACCTGTAAACACCTGAGGTGCCATCCTCACAGATACAGGTAAAGTCACAGCCGTCATACCACTGTTGTCCCTGGGTGTAGCTCTTACCCTTGTACACACACACATCTAAAACAGCATATGATTAAATACAGCCAACGTACATTTAATATCATCATAATAATAATTTAGCACAAAGTATTGTTGTAAGCCACTTACAGGTTACAGAAATTTTGTTTCTGAGGCCTAAAAATAGAAGATCTCTAAGCTAAGGAATTTGTTGTCATTCTGCTAGAGACTTTGTTAGGACTATAGCATAATTTAAAGCCCCACCAACACTCCTGCCTAAAAACTTCTGTCTCCAATCTTTTGAGAAAAAGAAACCTTAGTTCAAAAGACGGACCAGGGATTATATATTAGCAAGACAAATGTGCATATGTGCAACAAAGCCAGGAGTAATCTTAGCTGGTCACTGTTCAACAATTAGTACACTGACGAGCGAGTAAGGGTTCCACCATGTGCCTGACCATAATATCCCCCTCCCCCCCCACAAACACCCAACATGGTCAATTTTTAGTAACAGTGACTTTGACCTTGACCTTAAAACTTTTTTAACCCCTATTGCACATCTTCATATCACAGTGTATTACCATGTAATTCCCAACCCATGCCTTTGATAGCTTGACGATAAGTCTTAAGAAAACATTTGTCTTTAATGTTAATTGACTTCAACATTTCAGATTCCTGTATATGAAGTGGTAAATAGTGAAATGTTTCCCGATACACTGAGATATTAACTTACTTTTCGGGAGTGGAGCTGGGGTAGCGACAGGTATGAAAGGTCCTTGAGGTGATTGCGATGGTATCGGGCCTTGGGTAGGATTAGGACCTGGTGTTGGGGAACCTAGGGGTCCTGTTCCAGTGAATCCTCCAGTGTGTGGTGTAGGATTTGGCGAGTTCCCTGGGATGGGTGAGTTTCCTGGGGTAGGGGCAGGAGTAGGGTTGTTATAACACTCTGTTGTTTTACAGCAAGGGTTGGTTGGATCCTTGACCATACGACAGTTGCTAGGCAGATCACCATATCGTGGACACCTGTTTGAACATAATTATTAGAGGTGCTTTTACAACAGAATACAAAAACAAGGCCAACATTTTTAAAGAAATTTCTAATGCTGAGAAATTCTTAAACTAAATTTTTGTGCTCTGAAAGCCAAATTCCTTTTTCCAATGGCAAAGAGTTCACATTTTTAACATTTTATGGAGTAACTGAAGAGATTTGAAACGAAATGCCATTGTTGCGTGTTTCTGGTGTTTTTTTACTGTGTCACATATTTCATGGAGTTGCAGTATAATTTTTGAAAAGTCCAAGGAAATGAGTACAGTATACACTTTACCTATGACCTGCTCTGATGTGTTTTAGTGAGTATGAAAACCTTCACTATATTCATAAATGATCTTATGATCAGATATTCTCATTCATGTAACAAGATTAAATTATTTGAGAGCATCAATAAGGACCAAACTAGTACGCAAGACAGGTAAAGGGAGGTAATAACTTACTTGCTGTTGCACTTGTAGGACCCTGTGGAGGCATTGGTACATACACAGGTGTAATCACAGCCATCGTCCCAGGTCTGGCCCTGTGTGTACGTGTTTTCCTTGTAGTAACAGTAACCTACAACATATACCTTACGTTAGGAATACATGTAACTATGTAAACTAATATTTACAAGGAGTTGTCTATGTCTTAAGTAATTATCATTAAACAACCATATGGTCTCGTCAGAGTAATATTTTTCTAGTCATGCACCAGTTATAGACAATTTGTGCAAAGCTCCTAACCATTATCAAGACACATACCAAGAGGATACTTTGGTGTAGGAAGTGGTTGTCCTGGAACTGGCTTGGGTGTTGGTAAGTGAACTTGTCCAGTGAAGCTATGGGTTTGGATAGTTGGAACAGGTGTGGGGCCTGGAGGGTTGGTTTGTCCCGGGCCAGGAGTGGGTTGAGGGCAGACAGGCACCAGACAACAGCCATCCTCAGGGTCGGAAATCAGTGTACAGCCAGGCTTTACTTGGTCAAATTTGGCACACCTGTAGGTATGAAATGAATGCTATTAATAATATTTATCACAATACAAAAATTCAGATTTTTTTTTATTTTTTTTTACAAAATGCGGCAGAACTGACAAGAACCCTTTCTCGATTCACTCGGTTACATCCTATAAAACGGTTAGACAGCAAATAACATCATCAATTATCAAATTACACAAGTACACATTATCATTACTCTCGACTAACTGACCTCTCCAGACAGGTGTAGATACCACGGCTGGAGTCGTCACAGCGACACTTGTAGTTACAGCCATCCTCCCACGTCTGTCCCTGGATGTAGTTAGCACCCTTGTATACACAGTATTCTGAAAGTTTAATGCTGATACTGTACAAGCAGCCTGTACACTAATGAAATGGAATATTTACCTGATATGTGGCTTGAGGACCTATCTTACTAAAAACTTGTTAGAAGTAAAGGGGGAGAGAGGAGAGGGTTATTAAGTTTCTTCTTATGACTTGGAGAAGGTAGTGGTGAATTCAAATTCTTCGTACAATTTCTGGAAGGTAGTGGTGAAGGGAGGAGAAGATTCAGGGATCTTATTACGACATATCAGAGAAAGTGACAAAGTGGGCTGTTGGTTATTTAGGATTTACTTACGACTTATTTGAGGAAGTGACGAAGTGGGCTGTTGGTTATTCAGGATTTAATTACGACTTATTGGAGGAAGTGACAAAGTGGGCTGTTGGTTATTCAGGATTTACTTATGACTTATTGGAGGAAGTGACAAAGTGGGCTGTTGGTTATTTAGGATTTACTTACGACTTATTGGAGGAAATGACAAAGTGAGAAGTGTAATATTAAGGATCTACTTACGACTTGCTGGAGATAGTGTTCCAGGGAGAAGTGGGTTGGGAGCAGGTGTTGGTGAGGGGGAAGCACTGGGGTTGACTGGGTGCTGTCCATCAACGCCTCCTGTAGAACCGGGTACATTACACACAGGCTTCTTGCAGCATGGATTAGCGAAGTCATTGACCAGTCGACAGTAAGAAGGAAGACCAGTGAATCTCGGACACCTATAAAGATTTTTGCAGGAACACTTTTTCACTGTTTTATGCTGACATTATATAAACTCTCAATTTTCAGAAACGACAAATAGTTGAACTGGATAACTTTTTCATGGAAATATACTGTCTGCAATAATGGTGAAAATTAGAGCCCGCAAATTTGAAAGAATGAAGCTTAATTGTATTATATCTACCAGTTTCAAGGGCAGGTACTAACAGCAGGAATGTTATGGCTTCTGTTAAAATTATGAGAAGTCTTGAATATATTTTATTTATTATCTGTTTTTGACTGTTCCAGAATCAATCCTATGGGAAAAGTTAAAGGTACTATTTCAGCGGCCATACCACCTATCAAATATCAAAACTTATTGAATACAAGGTAATGATATGTCGACCTGAATTATAACCCAACACGCATTATATATAAATACAAGTGCCTTAAACTTCCCATCATGACTATTTCACTTATTATGGGAAAAGGAAATTGTAAAGGTTTTACCAAATAGAATAATAAAATAACAAAAAACAGGTTTTAGAGGAAATGATCATTAAAAGGAACATTGAACAACATTTAAAAAGGATTTAATAAGATAAAATAGGATATTAGTGGACGCAGGCATTGCTGCCTCCATATCCAAATCAATATAATTTTAAATACAATGTGGTAAACATAAAATAAGCCTATATATAGGATGCTGTGTAATCGTACTTCAACTCAAGATTATCTTAATGTACTTTCATTTCAACAAAACTGTTTATTTGTAGGAGAACATTTTCACCTGTCTGTACATTGGTAGACTCCAGTCTCGGAGTCCTTACATTCACAAGTCAAATCACATCCATCCTCCCAGATCTGACCTTTAGCGTACTGGGTTCCCTTGTAGATACAGTAGCCTGCAGAGAGACAAAATATCTGTAAAACCTGTCTTCAACAAACAGTACATTGGTATGGTCTGTATTCAACACTACAGCAAGATCTGTATTCAACAATTTTTGCTTAAATCAGGATATTCTGTATTCAATAATGCAATGATATGGTTCGTATTCATCAATACAGCAAGATCTGTATTCAACAATTATTGATTAAATCAGGATATTCTGTATTCAATAATGCAATGATATGGTTCGTTGTCAACAATACAGCAAGATCTGTATTCAATAATTCTTGATTACATGCACTCAGTGGCTGTATTGCCTGTAGTCAACTGTTATACATAGTCTGTATTGAACATTGATGTTTAAGCCGAGATTTTCAACTTGTATCTACGATAAAACTCATATCAACAAATTGCCAAAAGTTTATAAGATAATTCCATGCCAAATATGACTTATTGATGAGTTTGATTTCTTATTTAGCACGTTGGTATTAAACATGAACGTATAATTCTGGCATAAACCACCATAACAATCGAATCAAGCGATTGTCTATACCTGGGACTTTGCCTTCTCCTGTGACCTTGCCGTAGTAGGATGCTGGTGGGATGGGGTTGGGAATGACCTGGCCATTGCCAGTGATGTTGTTTATGTTGCCAGGGGGATTACATTTGGGCATCCTACAGCAGGTTGGGTCACGGGGGTCTGATATCAGTGTGCAGCCAGCAGGAGGGTCAAGATAATCGGGGCACCTGCAGTGAAAGTGAAAGTTAAAGAAATGTACCTACAGTGACAACAAATTGAATTAGTTAATCACAAAAAGAAACAAATCCAACATTTTGCATTTTGCTTTAAGTCGAGTTACCCATATTTAAAAAAAAAATCCATATTATGGTTAAAAAACAAAAACAAAAAAACGAAAATGTTATTTTCAGTGTTGTTTTCATGGCTATGTATTGTGACTTTTGACTATTGCCAGTGTTTACCTGAGCTACGATGCTAGAGAAACACTGACCTGCTAGTACAGCGATAGATGCCATTGACAGCATCCTCACAGGTACACTTGTAACTACAGCCATCATACCAGGTTTGTCCTTGCTGATACGTCTCCCCTTCATAGTTACACACGTCTAAAACACACACAATAACACAAATCTGCACACTGGAAATCTCAATTAGCAACTTATTTTTGAGCATCTGAATTAAATTGGCAAAGCAATCTACTTTCCTAATGATTGAACCTGAAAATATGTATATATCTTGGTAAAAGCAAGCACTGCTGTAAGTTCCTTGTTCAGTAGATTGTGCTATTTCAGATATTGTAACAAAATGTGCAGATTTCAGAGGTTAAAACAAATCATAAAAAATACCAAATGAACCTTAATATTGTATACCAGGAATTTTTGCTGCAGGTAAATTTTTTGCCTTATTTTGCACTCTGTTATGAATGAGGGGCGAAATCATCATTACAGCGAACATTAGTAAACACTGTTTTATATACATAGTAATCAAATGTGATGGGCAAAATTAATACTGGGCTTCCATGGATTTCACAAGGAAAGAGCAAAAGTTTGACTGGGCAAAAAAGTCATGGCATACAGTACTATGATGCAGCCATTTGTCAGGCCATGCAACACAACATTCCACTTTTTGTACTGTTACTGACGTATTGCATTATTTCTCCGAACTCCTTATGGATGGAACACATTGGTTGTTATGCACTGATCAGATCATCAAATTACTCAAATTTTTTTTATGTGATTTTATGAATATGCTTACATGACATTATTCTGTCTTCAATATCAGTTTGTCTGCTATTGTTGTTCAGTTTCAGAAACCAAATTGGACATTACCCTGATAAATATGAGTTAAGAATTCTTTTAACATGTTAATAAAGAATAAAAGTAAGTAATAAACCATACCATTAACTTTAACCAACTTATAATTAACAGATAGCACTTACTTATTGCATATAAGAACATGCAGTCATACGCACAGTAAAAATGGTCCAATCTAAGTGATCAAATTAAGACCTAAGTATACAATAGGCGATGGCACCGACTGTGTGTAAAGAACTTACTCGATTTGGTGAGTGGTGTGGTCCTCAGGCCAGTGAATTCTACTCCATGAGGGACAGCGTAGCACCGAGGCACAACACAGCAGGGGTTCATGGGGTCTTGGATAAATTGACAGTAGGGGTTGGGCACATATTCATATTTGTAGCACCTGAAAATAGCACCATAGTTTATCAACAAGAGAAATTTGACCATTTTTTTTTCAAAATAATTACTTATATATATTTTTTTTTTGTAACCCCTAAACAAACCAATAATATTTTTTCCTGGAGCCCATTGTACATAATTATGTTTATCATTTAGTTTAAATCCAACCATTACTATCTTATAGCATCACTTAAAAGTGCCACCCTGCTTTCGCCTATATAAAATTATATCTTGAATAATTTTGCAACATTAAGAGATTTTGAATTATCTGCTTTGACTAGATAAAGGATGTCATTATCACTGAAGAATATATCATAATCACTTAAGAATATACCAGTCAGTGAAGAATATGCCAGTCACTGAAGAATATACCAGAGTCACTGAAGAAATATCATAGTCACTAAAGAATATACCAGTCAGTGAAGAATATACCAGTCAGTGAAGAATATGCCATAATCACTAAAGAATAGACCAGTCAGTGAAGAATATGCCAGTCAATGAAAAATATACCATAGTCACTAAAGAATATAAGTCAGTGAAGAATATATACCAGTCAGTGAAGAATATGCCACAGTCACTGAAGAATATGCCATAATCACTAAAGAATATATACCAGTCAGTGAAGAATATGCCAGTCACTGAAGAATATGCCATAATCACTAAAGAATATATACCAGTCAATGAAGAATATGCCACAGTAACTAAAGAATATACCATAGTCACTAAAGTATAGACTAGTCAGTGAAGAATATAACACAGCCACTGAAGAATATACCACAATCACTAAATAATATACCAGTCACAGAAAAAACTGTTTTGCATTTTAATTACTTGGCACAACCTAAACACATTTTATGAGTTTACCGTAAAATTATGATAAAAAAATAAAAAATAAAATGGCTTACTTCTCTACACAGGTGTAGTGGCCGGTGAGACCATTATCACAGATACAGTTGTACTCACATCCCTCCTCCCAAGATTCTCCAGGGGAATAATGTTGACCAGATTTAGACACGCAATAACCTGGGGAGGCAAGTTGTCAGGTAAACATCAGGAAATATTATACCAACATAGACAGGTAACATAGATGGGATTCAAACTAATTATAATTAATACCCAAAATACCTTCTCCAGAAAAAATGAATATATTTCTGAAAATAAATTTCATCAGAAACTGTTTGTAAAGCCCTCAAAGATAAAATAAGACAGGCATTATTGAGATTTAAGCTGACCTTGTTTTGATATTCCTGCGGGAACTGTTGGTGGTGGTGGTACAAATCCTGTCTGACTAAGAATAACATATCCAGAGTATGGTAGCTGGAATGAGTTGCTGCCAGACCCTGGGACAGGGGGCTGCACTTGGCCGATGGCAGTGATACCAGGCTGGAAAACTGGTATCGGGTTTGGCATTTGGCCGGTGACTGGGTCTGGGTTACACTTGGGGCGTGTACAACATGGGTCGTTAGGATCGGTTACCTGGACACATGAGGCTGGCATGTTCTGGTACACTGGGCACCTGTCAAGGGTCAAATATTCAAGTCATTACATACAGTATATATGTATCTATGAAATGGATCACCTACACAAGACAACTTCCTCTCAGGTCAATGTAGCTCCGGACTCAAGTATCATGTTTCATGAGCCTCACAACACATTTAATACACAATAAATATCCTGTAAACATTTTCAAGTTAAATATTTTTATCATCTCTGCAGAAACATATTAGTAATTTCATGTTTTAATAGGACACTAAACATTTGAAATACTTTGACATGTTTTGTTTTTGGATTCAATAATCATGAAAATGTCACTGATTTCAGTTTTGCCTTCATGTAATATTGACCCAAGTTTGATACAACAGGGTCAGGATTATTAAATTTAAAGTAGCAAGACGAATGGCTTACAATTATTTTCCTCTTATTAAAATCAATATGTCTGTCCTTTCGTCTACAAGCCTCAAGGAATACAATGTATAACAGAGCGCAACTCTTACATCTCATGTCATGTCACAGTAATATACTGAACATTTGTGGTAAAGAGAGATAACTCTATTCAGGGGTGTAGAATTTCACATTTTGAATACTAGCCTACAGGTTGATGTTGAAAAGTTTTACAAGCACAACCTATATTTTCATATAAAATCCTGAAATGTATAACCAGCATATCATCTAACAGCCCTGGGTATTGAAACACAACATCTAACAGCCCTGGGTATTGAAACATAACATCTTACAGTTGTATGTATTGAGCTAGTGGAATTTTACACCCCTGTATATTTCAAAGGTCCTGGTTGGAATAGAAATGGTATCTTACTTATCCCGACAGGAGTACTGTCCACTGGTAGCGTTGAGACACACACATGACCGTGTGCAGCCATCGTCAAACGGCTGGTTCTGGTAGTAAACTTGGCCATTAAATAGACAGCCATCTACAAGAGAGAAAAATTAACTACAGATGCCTGTATGCCGATTCCTTGTAGTTAATAAACTAACTTTGTAGTATACAAATTAGTCTTTTTTAACAACCATGAACACATTTAGAAGCTTAAGTGTAGGTAACTTGACAACATTTCAATGGTTTGTCAATGAAAGTCACAAGTTCACGATGTACCAAAGCACGTAATTGTCATCTGTTGTTATTTGGCAATGGTTTACAGTATAACTGGATCAATTCTCATTAGTTGATAGAAACCAGGACCTCTGGAAATAACTTACTGATAGCGTTAGGTTGGAATCCAGTGCCTCCAGCCCCTACAGAGATGGGACCTCCAGAGTATGCAGTGGGGGCAGGGTACAGTCCTTGGGCAGGGTTGATGATATGGAAACCACCACCATTTCCAATGGAGTGGATGTTTTGTGAAGAGGAGAATGCTGAGCCTGTCTGGCACTCGACTACATCACAGCAGTAACCCACAGGCTTGCGTACATTACAGCCACTAGGTAAGTTGTTATACGTTGGGCACCTATAAAGATAACCATTTGTTAAATTTAATCTGTAATCTCAAAACTTTCCATCTATTATTCGCTGTGAATAAGAGAATTACCCATTAAAAATGAAAGATTCCATAATTAACAGCAAGTAGTGGTAAATTGCATGACATCTACAGCTAGTAATGGTAGATTCGTTGACCACTACCAGCCACAAATGGTAAATTGCATGACAACTACCAACCAGTAGTGGAAGATTCCATGACAACTACCAACCAGTAGTGGTAGATTACATGACAACTACCAACCAGTAGTGGTAGATTACATGACAACTACCAACCAGTAGTGGTAGATTCCATGACAACTACCAAACAGTAGTGGTAGATTACATGACAACTACCAACCAGTAGTGGTAGATTACATGACAACTACCAACCAGTAGTGGTAGATTACATGACAACTACCAAATAGTAGTGGTAGAAATGACAACTACCAAATAGTAGTGGTAGAAATGACAACTACCAACCAGTAGTGGTAGAATCCATGACAACTATCAAACAGTAGTGGTAGAATCCATGACAACTACCAAACAGTAGTGGTAGATTCCATGACATCTATCAGACAGGAATAGTGAATGCATGACAACTACCAACCAGTAGTGGTAGATTCCATGACATCTATCAGCCAGGAATGGTGAATGCATGACAACTACCAACCAGTAGTGGAAGATCGTATGACAAGTACCAGTTAATAGTTGTATATCCAGTGACATGGTAAAAGCTAATGCTTACATTTTGACATTAATCAAAATTAGTATGGAAAAATACCAAGTTATATGTGTTGTCCCATACTCAAAATCCAAGGGCTCCGCTCTTGAAACACATATCTTCTATGTACCCTTAGAATATGTCATGACAAAATCAAAAGCTCAAAGACAGCTATTTGTTTGGTTCGAGGTATATAAAACCCTGACCAATCACTAGGCTGAATCCTGTCCGTTGAACCCTTACAGAGGAGCTACACCACACTTTAAAGCCTGCTAATTTTACCGTTACGCTGCTGAATGATTCCTTTGTTCTTCATCTAGAACAGGACTAGTCTACTTGTTTCATCCACAAGGTGTTGCATAGAGAGCCATCATTATGTTTTGTCATGACATATTCTAGGTTGCGGAGAAGAAATGTGTATCGAGAATGGAACGTTTGGTGAAGATGCTCTGATGTATATAAAGAAACTTACTGTGACACACATCTGTAGTAGCCATACTTGGCTGCCTCACAGGTACACTTGAGGGAACATGTGGGGCTCCAGCTCTCACTCTGGTTGTAAGATTTACCCTGGTACACACAGTGATCTAAAACATGTCAAATTTACCATTATTATTGGTTTATAGTCAACAAAAGAATTACCTTCAAAATTTAATCATGGTAAACAACGTTTTTACTTTATGATCCATTTTAAATTGGAAACAAAATTTACTGTCATAATTTTCATCATTTCCTTTTAATATTGTAAATACAACAAATTTACCACCATAATTTCTCTTTATCATTAACATGTCAAAATTTTGATAATTTTTCTTATTGTAAACAAAACTATTTCATTTGTACTTTTTCTCTTTCAAATTTCAAACAGCTACATTTTAAAAGTTAAAGAGTGCAACAAAGAGGAATTTTGAAATTATGTTTTCAGCAGATATGCTTTTTATGAATATTTTTAATACTGAAATTAAATCAAATTTTCAGAAATTAATTCTATGTAAACATGTTTTGCAAGCGTTTTGTTTTATATTCTCAGTGAATCTTCATTCTTACCTCCTGCTCCGGCAGCTGTCAGTTGGTTGGTTGTACCTGAAAATTAAGAAAAAATAATTAGTTTTCAAATCTTTAGTCATGATCAAAATAAGTTTATCATTCCTAAAACAAGCAATATTAATACATATTTACATATATTTATACAAAATATATAACTAACATTTATTTAAGAGATGTGGATATTATAAAAAAAATCATAAAAAAGAAAATGTTAAGAACTTCTGCCTAAATTGCATCAAAACAAAATTAACGTTTCATTTAAGGACAATCCTTAATTGCTTGCACTTGTTAAGAAAGTTTTCCAGATTACCAAGGTCTTGATTGACCAGGTTCCAATTTACAATTAATCATGTAAAATCCATTATTGAAAAATAAAATATTTCTGCAATTCTGATTCAAACATATTCTGATACCTAAATTCATGAGATAGATAGATTACAGTATCTACTTACTACATAGACCACAGGTGAGTTAACTGTAATATTATGGTATCTACTTACTATATAGACCACAGGTGAGTTAACTGTAATACTACGGTATCTACTTAATACATAGACCACAGGTGAGTTTACTGTAATACTGCGGTATCTACTTACTACATAGGCCGCAGGTGTGTTAACTGTAATACTACGGTATCTACTTAATACATAGACCACAGGTGTGTTAACTGTAATACTACGGTTTCTACTTACTACTTAGACCACAGGTTAGTTTACTGTTATACTACGGTATCTACTTCCTACATAGACCACAGGTGTGTTAACTGTAATACTACGGGATCTACTTACTACATAGACCACAGGTGTGTTAAATGTAATACTACGGAATCTACTTACTACATAGACCACAGGTGAGTTAACTGTAATTCTACGGTATCTCCTTACTATATAGACCACAGGTGAGTTTACTGTAATACTACGGTATCTACTTACTACATAGACCACAGGTGAGTTTACAGTTAGTCTGAGCCCATTGTGGGTAGGCTGTGCATGAGTTTTTGTCATACTGCTGACAGTTAGTCAGGGTATCTCTACAGGCTTCAGGTGGTGTATAGGTGGCACCTGTAACAAAAGAAAACCAATATTCTTATTCTCTCGACATCTATGAGATTATATAAAACAACATGTTTCCTATTACTGGATTGTATTTCAGTTACCATGCATTATTTCCAAAGAAAAGTAAAAATACTTTTGGATATAACATATATAACATACAGTTACACGTAGATATAATTTGGTTTGGCATAATTTGCATATATGTATATATATTTCAGTCAGAATATACTTTTCATTACTTTCTGGAGTAATTTGGTTTTAACAATAGCATTTATTTAACTATATGAGCTTATTAATATTCCCAACAAAGATCTTATGAACGGAAGCATGAAAATTGCAATTTTATGAAAGTGTACAAGACATACCGGCTCCCTGTCCACTGATAAAACCCTCTCCATTGAAGCTTCCATGCTGCTGGCTGAATTCACACACAGGCTGCTGACAGCACTGGCCAGGTGTCTGGACCAGGTTACAGTAAGCGGGCAGGGCGTTGTAGGAGGGGCACCTGTCAACAATTGGATAATGGAGGGTAAATGTGGATAGGGATGAAGGGTCTGTTTTGGGCAATATCATATAATTGCAAGACATTGTAGGCAACATCAAATCAATTTGTAGTTCTTGGATTTCTTTTTTAACCATTTTAAAATGAGGTTGGAGTTGTGAAAGAGAGATAGATTGAGTCAAATAAGTTCAGAAATCATAACAAATACATTCTATATACTGTGAGACATTTAAGAAATAATTTTCCAAATGGTAAAAATTAACCTTGTCTCAAAGGCTTCTTCAAATCATTAATTACATTTTCAGGCAGGTTTTACCCACTTTCCATGATTCTAATAAAACTGAAAACAGTCATACACAGCATCAACACATGGACCCTTGATGCAAGTGCAAATTTGAAATATCTGCCATGTCTTCAATACACTTTCAAATGAAGCATAGTAATAATAGGTTTGTTGTAAAATACTTTCTTTTGGCACTATGTCCAAATAAATACTGATGTCTATTAGATTATATAATAATAATAATTTGAGGTTTCTTATAGACCGCTTTATCACAACCTAGTCTGTAGTCATCTCAAAGCAGTTCACATCATATCAAATATCGAAACTCATTAATCACAATGATTTAGGCTTACAGTAAATGCTGATCATTCTGTTTGTTTGAGGAACAAGGACTTCATTGATAATTCCAGAAAGAAAAAATGTGTTTTTGAAACACAACATAAAATTCTTCCTAAAAGAATACCAAACGGTAAGTTTCTGCCTGAAAATCCCATCTCTGTTAATTTGAAATGTTAAAGTGTTTGTAAGTTTAATAGAGGTCATTATGTTTTCAATGCCTCCGTCAGGGGTCAAACCCGGGACCTCTGGCTTACTAGTTTGACGCTCTACCAACTGAGCTAAAGAGAAATTTTCTCTAGCCGAGTCGAAAGGAAGCGGCTAGTATTTTACCAGGGGTGACATAAACAAGACATGTACGTACAGTTGTTCACATCTGTAATGACCGGTAGAGGAATCCATACAAGTACACTGGTAGTCACATCCATCCTTCCAGGTCTGACGCTGGAAGTACTGCTTTCCCTTGTATTCACACACCCCTGCAAAACAAAATCTCAAGACTTGGTACCATGTTCTATTCCGTTTTATCCATTTTATTGTGTAATCAAAGCAGGCTAAACCCTGTTCATTTGGTAACCAATGATAATCAACTACCTTACGAAGCAAAACCTTTTATAACCTGTAAGTACTTTTTCTATTGGTCATATGACTAAAGGTAATTGACTACATTTAAGTCAGAAATAAGTTTGATATTGGATTCTTCCCCATCTATGAACTTAAGCATTATACAAAGATTTGTCATCTTAAGACATCATATAAAGCTGACTTTTCAAGTCCTTGACATTGTATGATCGGAATCAGCAAATTTTGAAAAGCTGCAACTACTATCAAGCTGTCTGGCACTCAAAAAACTTATTGGCATTAATCTTTTTTTTTCTTTAATTGCATATCAACACCTTATGGTCCTATACATTTCTACAAAAATTCCTACAGTTGCAGGCTTACTCCTGTTGTCTATCAGTTGCATAGTAAAGATACAGATTACATACTGTATCCCTCGGATGTCACTCCAGCACTGTTCTGTTCGAAAGTCTGGACATTGGAGGCGAAGTTACAGGTGGGTTGAAGACAGCACTCTCCAGGCTTCCTCACCAAAGTACAAAGGGCGGGCAGGTCATAGTACACTGGGCACCTAAAAAGTAAACTTCAAACTTAGGGCACCAAAACAGTAAACTCCAGACCCAGAACAACTAAAACAGTACACTCCAGACTTAGGGCACCAAAACAGTACACTCTAGGGCATCAACCCTACATTATCACACTGCTTCTTTAACTTTTAAAGTACATGGGCACCTAAAACAGTACACCTCAGACTTAGGGCACCAATGTCACCCTCCCTTCTCCTACTGCTAGTATATCAGATGACACAAGTAATCTTATCTTTTGTTGCCTGTTTGATTACAAACAGTTTAACTTGCATACTCTAACCCTTGGTTAAATCATTATACATTTGTTTTTAAAAAAAATCTCCACCATCTAGTCCCTTATAACTATGAGATCTGGATCACATCACTTTATTAATAAATAATTGCTAGGTTTCATTATTGTAATTGTTTACATCGACCATTCTAAAATTCATATTTGACTTATACATTGTTACAGTTGTAGCAAAACTGGATTTTCCATTTCACTACAGTTTCTAATTGCTTACACCTGTAAAGATACCAACTGAGCTACCTGGTCACCGCCAATTGACCAGGTATTGAGCTACCTGGTCACCAGCAATCGACTAGGTATTGATCATGAGCTACCTGGTCACCGCCAATCGACCAGGTATTGAGCTACCTGATCACCGGCAATCGACCAGGTATTGAGCTACCTGGTCACCGGCAATCGACAAGGTATTGCGCTACCTGGTCGCTGCCAATTGACCAGGTGTTGAGCTCCCTGGTCGCCGCCAATCGACCAGGTATTGAGCTACCTGGCCACCGGCAATCGACCAGGTATTGAGCTACCTGGCCACCGGCAATCGACAAGGTATTGAGCTACCTGGTCACCGGCAATCGACCAGGTATTGAGCTACCTGGTCACCGGCAATCGACCAGGTAGCTCAGTAGGTATAGGGTCTGTCTAGAGTTTGGGAAATACTGCATAGCATAAAAGTAACATTATGTACTAAATATAAAGTTACCTTGAAATTGTGAATGGAGACTTTTGTGTAAATTCCGATGTTTTGCTGTAATACTACTGAGTTATTTTGAATCATTGTAACAGTGAACACGGTAACAAACAGCCGCCAAATTACCTGTTATAGCAGTTATATTTGCCCGAGTTTCCATCCTGACAAACACATTCATAGTCACAGCCATCTGTCCACTTTTCTCCTGTAGAGTAGGTCTGTCCCTTGTATGCACAGCGGCCATCTGCAAGGTCAAACAATTTTACAAAATGAAAAAACCTGGATTGTGACGTTTGCCTATACTCATCAACATAGAAAGAAGTCATTTTTGCTACACTGTAATATGTAAATTTTACTTTATTATTGCTTTATAATAATTTTCACACAAACTCAGTAATTGTGATAAACATGTCTAAATCTGTGTACATCACTTAAGTGAGACAAGAAAAACATTTAGATATTTGGGTTTAATTGTATACCTGTTCTTACCACCAGGACAAGTCAAATTCCTTTTGTTAAGTTAAATAAAGACAGACATCCCATAAAGAGAATTACATACAATCACAAAAGCGTTCTACATACTTTTAAATGATACTTTGGTAAATTAACGCCAGATAAACTTTACTTACAGAAACCTATAGCACTGCTGCTGCTGCTTGATCCAACTCCTGAGAAAGACAATCATCAAAACATTTTATAAATTGTGTTATAATATTTATATATATACACATTCTTTTTTATCTGTACATGTTAAAAGGTCTAACTTGTTTGTCACATATATTATATACGTATTTTATGTCCATGTGTGCAACATTTCACATATTAGCTGTAAGACAAAAGGTTACATATTAATAATTATGTTTACATGTTATTCAGATAAATAACTTATTTATAATTCTGCATACCTAGTATCAATCATACAGTCACATTGCTCAAACTAATTTTCTATTATAATATGCAGAAATGTTTAGGGATAGAAATACATATTTTTTAACATTTATGATGGTATAAAACCAATCCCCCATGGCGCCTCATGAAGAATATGTTTGTAAGTATAAATATTAAGGATATGCATTTCAATTCTCATATTTACATTAAAAACAATTGTGAGGTGTCATTCACCAAACTACTCACTAAATCGCCGGTGTTCAGCATTGTAATAAGTAACAAAAATATTGACAGATAGTTATTTTTACTAATTCATTTGATATTTTTCTTCATCATTTATTTGAATATACTAAAATATAAATATATTCAGTAATGTTATTAGTAACAAAAATACTGTGACATAATTTTATATCAATTTTTTCTTATTGTTCATTTTTTTGAAACAGAGAATCCATACAAAAACCATATTGTACTTATTATTATACACCGATTAGTCACAGGCCAAAAGACAAGTGAAATCCTATAGGTGAGAAGATATCCTCAACCTACTCACCGCAGTATCCACAGGTGAGTTTACAGTTGTCTCGTGCCCACTGAACTTGACTGGTACATCCGACTGCAGCGCAGTTAGTCACTTTATCTGTACAGGTGGGTAGGGATGGCTGGTACTTGTCTACAACAGGAATACTGGCTCATCAGACATACAGAAATTAGTTCAAAACGATAACACAAGCACAAAAACAAGCAGCAAAACAATAACCAAAATCTTACAATGAAAAGACCCTAAACCAATCCCCGAGTTAAACCACATCAGTTCCCAAAACTCCCGGAGGTTACATCTGTTCAGTGTTTGGTCCCATATATGTATTAATCATTCTATCATGAAAGTCCTTCGTTTCCAATATTTACAGTAGCCTTTATACAATAGCTTGAACACTGCCTGGTTGCAACTTCTGTAGTATATCTGGGCTGAGTATATCTCATCATTCATCATCAAATTGGTTAGAACTGAAATTAGTTAGAACTGTACAGAAGATCACCTTGGCCAGCTTTGTTAGAAAGAAACAGTTATGTTAATTCCAGTATGTAAATTGTACTGTATTTTAACAAATTCATATATATTATGTAAGTGTTAATTCTGGGGACGAAATGGGTAAGCTTACGCTTAAATCATCCTAACAAGATCTCGATAAAGGCAAAATCATAATAAAAGCCGATTACCAGACTGTGTTCCTACTTCCTAGATCGTTAATGTTTACGCAGTACGAATAGTCTTACTGTTCTAGTTGAAATTTGGCTGTCCCTCGTAAGCTCTCATACAATACTAACGGTGTTCAATGCCCTTTAGAGAAACAACGCTGTTTGTAAACAAACCAGCAGCCACAGCCGTAATTTCGCGGGTGATCTGTCTCTGCTTGACGCTTAAAATTTAAGCGTACACAATGGCATAGGAGTTCGATGCTTAGCAGGCACAGATTTCTTTTTTTTTCTTTATTTTTCTTTTAAGTATTTTTTATCGTCAAAATTAAAAAAAAAAGACATTTTTTTCGAAATATATTAAAGAGTATTTACCAGATTTTTAAATTATAAGTCACCACCATAACACACAATATACAGTTCTTTAAAGAAACCCCGATGACTTTATTACGACGTTACATGATTAAACGCAAAATGAAATACCAAAGAATGAAAGCTTCCTTCAGGCGTTATATATATTCACGGAATACCACAGCAGTTTAGTGATAAATGACGACGTCATATAGCGACAAATAGACGTCTCATACTTACATGTACAAATCCCACAGTAGGCCTGGCAGTTGGCGTTTGCCCATGTTTGGTAGTTGGTGCACACTGTTCGTCCGTAGGCGGCACAGTTGCCCAGTTTATCGGCGCAGGAACCAGTGCTCACTATAAGATAAGTCACGAGATATTGGACGTAATCGTAGATACACATATAGCATTATCATATTCTTATTACAGTAGATGAACACGAAGTGCGTTATCTCCACAAAACTAACGCCCTTTAAAAAATCATAATACGAAGTTCGAATAATAGATATAGCGTTTACTAGCTTATTATATTGCGCAAATTTCAAATTTTAGTCCTTTCTTTTGATAAATAATACATTGTTGAAGTAAACACAGTGTGATACAAGTAGATAATAATACAAATGGAGACAGAACTTCGATTTAAATATCAGATTTATACATACAGGACTATACATTACAAATGACATCACAATCAGACTTACCGGCGTTGAAGTCGAAGGTGCTCTTCACTGAAATATATCAAACACGACAGTATATGTACACGTAGTAGATTTTCAACTTATGAAGAAAACAATATCATGACACCATTAAAGGACTCAAAAGCAGCAAAGCGATTTGAATTAAGAAATAAATAAATGAAGTAAATAGAAAGGAGTTAGGAACGCAGCTTAGGTACTCAACTGTACGATAAAGATTAATTTATCATCACTGATGTAATGATCATAATGTAATCAAGTTCAAGTTTTTTATTACCTTGGGTCTTTTGACCCATCGATTTCAAAAGTGAGATATATTTACAATATCTACAGACAATACAATACAATACAATACATGCAATACATACAATACAATACCAGGAATGTACAAACAGTATGGAGAGTGTAACAAATTAAGTTATTTGGTTTATTTGGCCAAATTGACAAGTTCTTTTGTGTTATTTACATTAAATAAATTTATCATTTTAAACATACTTGTTTTTTTTACATAGTACTTTTTCGAAACTTTAACAAGCAAATCCGAATAACATGGACATTTCAACATAAAATGAAACTCATCTTCAACATCATTTAAATTACATACAGTACACACTCTAAGGCTACGCTCAATATTTTGATATCTTCCTTTTTCTATATTAAGATAATGAGCAGATAACCTAACTTTTATAATCTCTATCAAATATTCTCTAGATAATGGTTTTCTTAAGTAACACTGTAAATGAAACTGGTTATAAATGTATATTGTACAGGATGTCCGTTTTAATTGACGTAGTCAGATTATACTGCACAGCGGGATATTTCGGAGGGGGATATATTCGAGATTTCGCATATATATTAGGGTGATTGCGAAAATATGATACGCGTCAAGTCATATAAGATGACCTTCTGCACACATCGGTACGTACCTCCGCACATTTTCTGGAGCAGTGTGTTTTTGATAGAATCCAGCTGGTCGAAGCTATTCACGGTAAGGACGTTTGACGGCGAGATTCCGGCCAGTTCCTGTTGGTTCACGCGGCTTCCGACGCCGACGGAGATAAGCCCGATACTAGCATCCCTTGCTTTGTTGGCAGCAGCGATTGCAGACGACTGGTCGTTGGAGTCGCCGTCAGTCAACAAAATGGCAATTCTGGGTACGTTGGATCGTCCACCCTCGCTCTGGGAGAACATGTGGTCACGTGTGTAGGAGATTGCGTCGGCGGTGTTAGAGCCGCCGCCTATCAAGGAGAGTTGTTCCACAGCCTTTAGGACGTCGCCGCGGTTTGTGTACTGTGTAAGCGGGAACTGAGAGGACGGATAACTGCTGTACTGCATCAGACCCACGTGAACGCCATTGGGCTGTATGTTCATGTCGGCCACGGTGTTCTTGATGAAGTTCTGCATCTTCATGAAGTTGATGTTACCAACGTTACTGGAGGAGTCGACCATGAAGACGACGTCAGCAGGATTCTGGAGGCAGCCTGTCGACGAGAGCAGACACATGTCAAAAACGGCAAGATAGAATTGATATTATCGAATCCAACCAAATGTCGTAGATTTTATTGTCATAGCGGTTTTAACACGTCAGATATGAACGTTAAAAAGGTGTTTTAAAAAGGTGTCGTGGTACGTTCTCTTATCTGAATACTGCGAATAAAATATGTGAGTACTTACTGCTTGGCGCTGGCATTGTGTTGGGATTTGGTGGGAGCTCTGTAAAGGAAACAACAACTCATTAAAACCATGCATATGTCGACACCAACAATATCAAGCGTTCGCTTTGAAAATGACCGCATCATATTTGTTTGCGCACAAGACTACGATTCAGTGGCGAGCCTAAACACCTAAAGACTTGAGCATTGTATCGGGGCCCTTTCATCAGCACCACCATTACGTAATATCTTATTGTGACCTCTTCTATCATTATAAGGAATAATCACTCCATCTAATGTCAATAACTACAATCTAAAAAAAATGCAAATGTATAAAGCACAGAATTTCGAAATGCGTTGAAATCGTTAATCAAGCACCTTTCTGTTACTTCGACTGAGTAGATTAAACGAAATAAGAGATGTATTAAAGAAGTGCATGTATTCATTGTACAACAATGTTTTTTTTTTTATTATTTGAAAACTAAGTGAAAGTAGAATATTGCAGTACAATCCAAATTAAGATAGAATACGGCAATGATTCTTGGTATTACGAGACGCAAAAGAGAATCACTACAAAACGATAATCGAAGTCTCACCATTACAGATTTTAGAGGCGAGGAGGTTTGAGATGCTGTTGAGCGAGTCGTAGTTCTCGGCCGTCATCATGTAGCGCGACTTCGGGTCGCTAGCGATCGACGTGAGCTCGTCCCTGTCGACGCCACCGCCGACGCCAACGCTGTACATAATGATGCCTTTGTCCTTGGCGTTCTGTCCCTCGAACTTGGTGATGTCTGGGGTGATGGACGGTCCGTCCGTAACCAGTATGGCGATGTGGGGCACGTTTGTCCGTCCTCCGTGCAGCGTGTTGAACGATTGTCGTGATACGTATTGTATCGCGTCAGCCGTGTGCGCGCTACCACCCGTGTACGGCACAGACGAGAGCGCGTTGATGACGTCACTCTGCGTATTGTGCTGGTTGAGGTAGAACTGGTTATGGACCACATCGTTGAAGGTGACGGTACTGACCCGGACACTGTTAGGGTCCACCTGAAGGCCACCGACCACGTGCTTCACAAAGTCTTTCTGTTTATCAAAGTTATTTTGTCCGACAGTGTTCGAGGAATCAAGAATGAATGTCACATCGGCCTGCGTGACACAACCTGCAAAGTACAATGGAGTTTCTAGTGTCATCAACGCATAACCAAGTATACTAATATTTTGTAATGCACATAGTTATCATACTAACCAACACCCTAAAAAATCTTCCCATTCCAAACAAGCCAATAAAATTAAAAATTAAAAAAAATAAAAAATAAAAACACGATTTTGTTGTTGATTAAAACAAATGAACTATCGGACGAACTTCCCGGACGAATCACGATTGCACGATGACCCCTGTGTACGATAGGACTATTGTGATCGCTACAAAGCCGAAATGTAATTCTTTTACAGAAATTAGGACGTAAACTAATTTTCAAATGTCAGACGTCGGTAATACTTTTCGTTTATATTGAAATATATCAGGGAGCGCACATAATATGGAACAACTTAACGGGTACTGGCCATAGGTGGTTTCAAATCAATAGTTTGAGAATGCAACTATTTTTGATGTAACTTCTTTTATTATACATATTATCTAATTTATCCACTTTTGGTCGTTCTTGTGTAATACTACTGACATGGTTTAAATGTAGGCCTGTATAGCGCTGAGAGATAAGGACCATCCCTACCAGATAACCAGCTGTAGGGAATACATTAACACGGTACACCTAACACACACTAGCACTTACAGTACAGATAACTCAACCGAAACACTACAACACGCATACCTACAGCATTATAAACAATTAAGGTTTCATATTTAATGAAATTTAATTAAAAGACGCCATTTGCTCTTAAATACCAAGCAGATAGGGGAACGAATACTCCTGCTACATCCCAACTGTGTGTCGTAAAAGAAGACTAATGTTTGGGAGCCCTGAACAATATTCCGAGTCCTCTGCTAAAGGGACATTCAAGATTGAAACACTTTTCAACACTTTGCAACACTTGTGATCGAGGACGTTAAACCCAAACAAACAAACAAACAAACAAATCGCTCTTAAATTTGCCAACGTTCCATGTGTTTTCAAGAATTTTCAATAATTCATTTTTATCAAGATCTCATTTAACAGTAAAACACCAATTATAGCAGTAACTGTGTAAATCATACAAATGACAATATGACAATTTTAATACAATATTAATATTAAATAATGAGTAAATAATCGAAAAATCATCATAGATACAAAGGTTAAAATTAATATGATAAGTTATAACGGTATCGATATATGTTATAACGTTTTATTATGTAAAAGAAATCGATTTTTTATGGTACATACGGTAAACGCATTTTAAAAATTTGGATTTGGAAATCTGACACAAAATAAGCACAATAGGAACTATATAGCCTTAAATAAAATATTTTAAATCTTACATTGTCTCGAGTTTTTAAATTAAATTATAAGAAGTTACATTGAATCTATAAAAAATAACATGCTCAACACGGTTCAATGTCACTAGTACTGGGACCAGCTTACATCACTGATAGGAATCCGAACGTAATCAGTTCAAAAGAATGAGTTGTTATTTTTTTTAGATTCCAAAAATAGACACATCTCACAAATCCGATATTAAGGCATATAGAGCGTGATCAAACAATCACATTAAGCACTATATCCCGGTCATGTGAATCAGTTGATGAATTAAGGAAGCCGCCAGGAATCGAACCACTAACCTTGCTGCTGTGCATGCCCCGGCGCTGCCGTCCAGAGGACGGCGCACGCCCACAGAAGAACGCCTCTAGGGATCATTCTTCTCGAAACGAAACGAAATGTCGGGAGTAGTCGGGACCGTGTAGTTATAGTCAATGTGATGGTGACGTCACATCCAGGACGACCAACAGACAACGAGAGATAAGGCAGCAGTTCCCTTTGGGGTCAAAGAGCGGAAACGACTCGCCCACGGGGAATCGTCCAATATAGCACACATCGAGACCTCTCCCGGGATCCGGGCTAAGACGGACCGTTAGATAACTCGTTATTTAAAATATGTCAGTTCATCAAATGATGTTAAATTTAAAGTTTGCCTAGTCATTAGTTTTTACTTAATTCCTAATATAGCAGTCCCTTTGATAACAGGCGCGTGACCTAGCTGTTTCCGAGTTGACGGTGTCGCATTAGGTAAGGACGGGCCCATTCATGGAATCGCTGTTACGGGGCATTGCCAAACACTTGTTATGTATCAGCAGGTCGATTCCATCCTTTTCTCACATTATTTGTACTAGACCAAACATTTCAGTCTCTAAAATGGGTCATGAATATGCTGATATTACCTTCCTTTTGACTGTCTGAAAAAGGACAGCCACTTATACCCAACCCTACCTCAAAACCCAGCAAGTTGATTTATTTCGTTGATAAAAACAATTTCATAACGTCACATATCATGTTAAATAGAAAATTCCCGATCTCCCTGTAATTTTGATCCAACCAATGTGGGTATGGGTAAATGCGTTTCATTTCATATTCTACTGTATTTATTATAGTATTTGCAATTTCAGTGTCGTATTAAAAACAAACCCGACAATGTCAGTACAGTTCTTGACGATAAAGTATGAACACAATAGTATTGGAAAGACATAGAATGACACTACGGTACAGGACGAACAAAGACTGATACAGGACGGAGAAAAAATGGCATGATGCTACAGGACGAACAAAGAATGACACTACGGCACATGACGCTATGCTACAGAACGAACAAGGAATGACACTACGGTACAGTACGGACAGGAAATGACACTAAAGTACTGAACGGACAAAGAATATTATTACGGTACAGGACGAACAAAGAATGGTACTACAGTACAGGACGAACAAAGAATGGTACTACGGTACAGGACGAACAAAGAATGGTACTGCATTACTGGACGGACAAAGAATGGTACTACAGTACTGGACGGACAAAGAATGGTACTATGGGACAGGACGGACAAAGAATGCCACTACAGTACTGGACGGACAAAGAATGGTACTACGGTACAGGACGAACAAAGAATGGTACTACGGAACAGGACGAACAAAGAATGATACTACAGTACTGGACGAACAAAGAATGGTACTACGGTACAGGACGAACAAAGAATAGTACTAAGGTACAGGACGGACAAAGAATGGTACTACGGAACAGGACGAACAAAGGATGATACTACAGTACTGGACGAACAAAGAATGGTACTACGGTACAGGACGACCAAAGAATGGTACTACGGGACGGACCGGACAAAGAGTGATACTACAGTACAGGAAGAACAAAGACAGGTGGCACTACAGTACAGGACGAACAAAGAATGGTACTAGGTGGGTAGGGATGGCTGGTACTTGTGTACAACAGGAATACTGGCTCATCAGACATACAGAAATTAGCTCAAAACGATAACACATGCACAAAACGTGCATGACACTACAGTAAAGGACGGACAAAGAATGGTACTACGGTACTTGACGGGCAAAGAATAGTACTACAGTACAGGAAGAACAAAGAATAGTACTACAGTACAGGACGAACAAAGAATGGTACTGCGGTACTTGACGGACAAAGAATGGTACTACAGTACTGGATGGACAAAGAATGGTACTACAGTACTGGACGGACAAAGAATGGTACACATCCGACTGCAGCGCAGTTAGTCACTTTATCTGTACAGGTGGGTAGGGATGGCTGGTACTTTTGTACAACAGGAATACTGGCTCATCAGACATACAGAAATTAGCTCAAAACGATAACACATGCACAAAACGTGCAGGACACTACAGTAAAGGACGGACAAAGAATGGTACTACGGTACTTGACGGGCAAAGAATAGTACTACAGTACAGGAAGAACAAAGAATTGTACTACAGTACAGGACGAACAAAGAATGGCACTACAGTACAGGACGAACAAAGAGTGGTACTACGGTACAGGACGAACAAAGAATGTACTACGGGACGGACCGGACAAAGAATGACACTACAGTACAGGAAGAACAAAGATAGGTACTACGGTACAGGACGAACAAAGAATGTACTACGGGACGGACCGGACAAAGAATGATACTACAGAACGTGCATGACACTACAGTACAGGACGGACAAAGAATGGTACTACGGTATTTGACGGACAAAGAATAGTACTACAGTACAGGAAGAACAAAGAATAGTACTACAGTACAGGACGAACAAAGAATGGTACTACGGTACTTGACGGACAAAGAATGGTACTACAGTACTGGATGGACAAAGAATGGTACTACAGTACTGGACGGACAAAGAATAGTACTACGGGACGGACCGGACAAAGAATGACACTACAGTACAGGAAGAACAAAGAATAGTACTACGGTACAGTACGAACAAAGAATAGTACTACGGTACAGGACGGACAAAGAATGGTACTACGGTACAGGACGAACAAAGAATGGTACTGCAGTACTGGACGGACAAAGAATGGTACTACAGTACAGGAAGGACAAAGAATGGTACTACGGTACAGGACGAACAAGGAATGGTACTACGGGACGGGACGGACAAAGAATGGTACTACGGTACAGGACGAACAAAGAATGGTACTACGGTACAGGACGAACAAAGAATGGTACTGCAGTACTGGACGGACAAAGAATGGTACTACAGTACAGGAAGGACAAAGAATGGTACTACGGTACAGGACGAACAAGGAATGGTACTACGGGACGGGACGGACAAAGAATGGTACTACGGTACAGGACGAACAAAGAATGGTACTACGGAACAGGACGAACAAAGAATGGTAGTGCAGTAGTGGACGGACAAAGAATGGTACTACAGTACTGGACGAACAAAGAATGGTACTACAGTACTGGACGGACAAAGAATGGTACTACGGGACGGGACGGACAAAGAATGACACTACATTACAGGACGAACAAAGAATGGCACTACAGTACAGGACGAACAAAGAATGGTACTACATTACAGGACGAACAAAGAATGGTACTACGGTACTGGACGAACAAAGAATGGCACTACAGTACAGGACGAACAAAGAATGGTACTACATTACAGGACGAACAAAGAATGGTACTACGGTACAGGACGGTACACGACGGACAAAGAATAGTGGACCGGACAAAGAGTGATACTACAGTACAGGAAGAACAAAGACAGGTACTACGGTACAAAACGAACAAAGAATGGTACTACGGTACAGGACGAACAAAGAATGGTACTACGGGACGGACCGGACAAAGAATGATACTACAGTACAGGAAGAACAAAGACAGGTACTACGGTACANCGGTACAGGACTGGTACATCCGACTGCAGCGCAGTTAGTCACTTTATCTGTACAGGTGGGTAGGGATGGCTGGTACTTGTCTACAACAGGAATACTGGCTCATCAGACATACAGAAATTAGTTCAAAACGATAACACATGCACAAAACGTGCATGACACTACAGTACAGGACGAACAAGGAATGGTACTACGGTACTTGACGAACAAAGAATAGTACTACAGTACAGGAAGAACAAAGAATAGTACTACGGTACACGACGGACAAAGAATAGTACTACGGTACAGGACGGACAAAGAATAGTACTACGATACAGGACGAACAAAGAATGGGACTACGGTACAGGACGAACAAGGAATGGTGCTACGGGACGGGACGGACAAAGAATGGTACAACAGCACAGAACGGACAAAGAATGACACTACGGTACAGGACGGACAAGAAATGGCACTATGCTACAGAACGGACAAGGAATGACAATACGGTACAGGACGGACAAGAACTGGCACGAACGGACAAAGAATGACACTACGGTACAGGACGAACAAAGAATGGTACTACGGGACGGACCGGACAAAGAATGATACTACAGTACAGGAAGAACAAAGATAGGTACTACGGTACAGGACGAACAAAGAATAGTACTACGGTACAGGACGGACAAAGAATGGTACTACGGTACTGGACGGACAAAGAATAGTACTACAGTACAGGAAGAACAAAGAATGGTACTACGGTACAGGACGAACAAGGAATGGTGCTACGGGACGGGACGGACAAAGAATGGTACAACAGTACAGAACGGTCAAAGAATGACACTACGGTACAGGACGGACAAAGAATGACACTACGGTACAGGACGAACAAAGAATGGTACTACGGTACAGGACGAACAAAGAATAGTACTACGGTACAGGACGGACAAAGAATAGTACTACGATACAGGACGAACAAAGAATGGTACTACGGTACAGGACGAACAAGGAATGGTACTACGGTACAGGACGAACAAGGAATGGTACTACGGGACGGGACGGACAAAGAATGGTACAACAGTACAGAACGGACAAAGAATGACACTACGGTACAGGACGGACAAAGAATGGTACTACGGTACAGGACGAACAAGGAATGGTACTACGGACGGGACGGACAAATAATGGTACTACAGTACAGGACGGACAAAGAATGACACTACGGTACAGGACGAACAAAGAATGGTACTACGGGACGGACCGGACAAAGAATGGTACTACAGTACAGGAGGAACAAAGAATGGTACCACGGAACAGGACGAACAAAGAATGACACTACAGTACAGGACGGACAAAGAATGACACTACGGTACAGGACGAACAAAGAATGGTACTACGGTACAGGACGAACAAAGAATGGTACTACGGGATGGGACGGACATAGAATGGTACTACAGTACAGGACGGACAAAGAATGACACCACGGTACAGGACGAACAAAGAATGGTACTACGGTACTGGATGAACAAAGAATGATAC